CATTCTGAAGTAGATGCCAGCATTGACATTCATTCAGGTGCAATTCATGCAGCCTTTTTCTCACTGCCAGCAACAAAGAGAATGTTGGGTGACTTCCCCAGATTTCTTTGTTGTGATTTTTCAGAGACAAAGTGAAATGAATCTGTTTTGTACTATCTGTGTGCTTCTGACCTCCCTGTTTCTTTTTCTTTATTCCATTTCCAACAAGTTATAAAGAGCCCTTCCATTTCCCAGCAGTTTGCTAGTTAATTTCAGTATCTCCTGATGTCACAAATATTCAGGGCTTTTAAGAAGTCACTTAGTTGAAGTTTTTAAAATGAAGAATTTTGGTAGATGATGTGCGAGTCCAATAAACCCTCTGAACGTTTCTGTTCCATCTGTAGGTGCCTGACTATGACACAGTTATTAAGCATCCAATGGATCTTTCCACGGTTTTATCTAAGATTGATTTGCACCAGTACCTAACTGCAGGAGATTTCCTGGAAGATATTGATCTCATCTGTAGTAATGCCTTAGAATATAACCCGGATAAAGACCCTGCAGGTGAGTGAGCACTTTTGATCCTTGTAAAATGCATAGATGGATCAATGGTGTGCGTAGGCGATAGACTGCATCAGATCCTTTCTAACGTCCGTGGACAGCATTGCTTGTCAGATTGTAGATTTTGTGGCACTTAACTACTGGGATGTGGAATGTAAGTGTTAATGTAAATAAAAGTACTCCCTGAGATATCCTTTTTCAGAAACTACCAATGCAGAGCAACTTTTTTCTCTGTGATCAAGAGTTTCACTGCCTGACTAAGTTCTGCCTGTAAAATTTCAGATCGTCTCATTAGGCACAGAGCTTATAGTTTGAAAGACACTGCATATTCCATTGTGAAGGAAGAGATAGATGAAGATTTAGAACAACGTTGTGAAGAAATTAAAGAATCTCGTAAGAAAAGAGGTGTGTGTTTTAAGGGTCAGGATTTTAAGTCTCGTCTCTGTATTTGTAACTGAAAATGCAAGAGACTTCTTTGCTTTCTGTTCTTTATCGCAAGGTTGCAGCTCTTCAGAATATGCTCCAGATTTCTACACAGTGATGCCAAAGGAAAACTCTGCTCCTGGATGTAAGAAAACAGATGCCGAGGGCAGTGACAAAACAAAGATGACAGTGACACCTGTAGATGCCAGTACACCTGTCTCCAAGGGCAAGTTGCAATTTATTCAGACTTTCTGGGTGAACTTGCCAATGTAATTGATATTATCTCCTGTGTTATTGTGACATAAAGAGTCAGGCATCAGAGAAACCTGTCACGCCCGTGGTTTTATGTTTTTGAATTTACTTCAAAAAGTGAGATAAATCCAGAGGTCATCCATCAGTACGGTTATGAATTAAAGTTCAAATAAAAAGTTGGCCTACCAGTATAAAACACTGGTCTTGATGACTTAACTGACGTTGAGTGGCTCCCACATTGCTAATTCTTGGTATCATGGTTTCTGAATACTCAGCTAGTTTTCAATGATGCAAAAGAGCATCTTCCTTCTCTCCTCCCTTCTGTCCCCAGAATGCTAAAATACTTGCTACCCCTTTACTGTTATTTCCAACTGAAGGGTGAAAGTGAAGAAGAAGTGAGGAGCTATAAAAATAGAGATGGAAAGGGAACAGTCATTATTTCTTCTTGCTCCTTTGAGTAGGGCATGAAGAGACTTTGGCTTCTTTCCATCGGAACACATGACATGTTGTAAAGATTCCTGGTCTCAGGAGTGAGTGGGAATCTTGCCACCGAGTTCACTCACATTTTGTGCAATCTTACATAAATACGAAGCACGGTGGGCTTTTCTGTTGGGCAAAACCACAAAGTTTGTTTGTAACAAGGTTAACAGAACCAGAAAGCATATGGCGTGTAAGTCTCTACAGGCTGGTTTTTTTCTCCTTTGAATGTTGCCTTAAAGTTGTCTCTTTAATTAAACTCTTCTTAATATGTATTTAGCTTTCAAAGACTGGAGTGTGATAGCAACTTTAAAGGCTGTGTGGCTGTTTGTGTTGTTCATGTCGTAAGATAAAGTGTCTTACCTTGCTTTTTAGAAATAATTCCTATTGAAGGGAAGAGTTGTCTGCCTGTAACATCTTGAAGATGATTATTTTGCGAATGAAATTAAGCAGTTGACTTTTAAACTTAATGGGGTTGGTTCACTATTAAAGATTGAACTTTTTTCTGAACGTAGGGAGTGTGTGCTTCAATTCCTTTGATCGGTTTCCTTGTAAGTCAAGTAAAATGAAGATGATGGATTTTGAAAGAATTATTTTCGTAATCTTTTGGTTTGCTTTTTTTACTGTTTCTTTGTAGAGGTGTCAAAAAGAAAACGCAAAAAAACCGATTCCTCTTTTTCCATTGCAAAGAGAAGAAGGTCTTTTCAATTCAATAAAGAGAATACAATTCCCAAAGATGACCCAAATGAGAGGGACGGAGAAGATTTTCTGGCAAGCTATATTTCTAACATGGATCAGACTGAATTTGAAAGCTCACAGGCTTCTACTTGGGAAGAAAGTGAAACTGTTCTTCAGGAACGGCAGACAAACAGCAATGAAAATAAAGCTGGATCAGAAAAGGAGAGAGGGGGGGGGCTTTTTGATATGGATACATCTGCTGGTGAAAAGGAGAGTGTCGGGCTGCCTGGACACTCAGACCCGAGAAGGGAAAGTGGTGTTTGCCAAAAACCAGACTCCTCTGAAAAGCAAGAGGCAAATGGTAAGTGAAATGTCCAACAGAACATTTAGTTCCACATTCTATCTAAGGAGAATTGTATTATTTATTATTAGCCTTTGAATTCATTCTATTATTTGTGTTACATCTCCAGAGAATCAGCAGTTTCTTCAATAGCAACGCTGCCCATGTAATTATGTAAGCCAAGCTCAGGTTTTTGTGTAGCTGCTCTTTTTTTCCTAAGATGTGTCTTTCTAATGTTACCTAACTGAAAAACAGCATTTGTTGACATTCTTTTGTTGTACGAGGAACTTTCCAATAATGAGCAGTGTCAGATTAAAAAAATGCACTTGAAGCTGTGTGGATCCATGTGGGGTAGAAGACTTGCATCCTCATGTTTGCGATGTAAGATATTTCCTAACTTGAATTCTTTTTGGAGTAGCATGAGGTGTTGTAATGGCAACATGACTGTTTCTTTTCCCTCTTTTATCCTTCTGTATTCTCTAGTGTTCTTTTTGCTCTGAATTTCTCTTTTTGGCAGAGGACTGACTTTAGCTGGAAAGAAGATAGAAGCCAAGCGTTGCTCAGTGAAGGAGTTGTAACAGTGCTGTGTCTGTATTTGTAGAGGGAGATTGCATCCCAGCACAGGATGCTTCATGGACATTGTATTCCAGATCAGCAGAAAACGTGACAGAGGAAATTTGTGTCATTCCAGATCCTTGTGTAATTCCCGTGACTGGTGCAAGATGTTCTCAGACCGAACAGAGGCACATGGACGTTATGACAGAGTCAGCTATTGTAGTGATGGTGGATTACTGTGAGCTCAAAGTACGTTAAGTTCAACTTTGTTTAAATTGTGAAATAGGACATATTTTTGCTTTATGTGCAGTTATCAATTGAGGCAGTTGTTAACCAGTGCCAATTTACACAGTTAATGGCAGAGATATATAGCACAAATCAACCTACCGTGGACTGTGATTGATGTGTTTCCACACCTACAGCTGCTGTAGATTTCTGTAGGTTGCTGTTTTTACTTCTGGTAAGCATTGTCTTAGGAGGCAGTTTCTCCACCTCAGTGTTAAAATTCAACCAGCCCTTTTACCTTAAAGCAGCCCACTGACAACCTGCTAGTACTGTTACTTATTAATGTTACTGCTAAACTTCCAAAAACAAAAGAGCCAAGGATCTTTTGCTATTCTAAACTTGTATTTTTCCCATTTTTTTTTCCTCAGCAACTGCTGGATATGGTCACTAATCTAACAAAGGAGGCTGATATATTCTATTTTGAAAAATTATATGCTAAAATTTGTCAGTGTATTTATCAACATCGAGACGATTATGACAAAACCGAATTACTGAAGGTAATTTTTGTCTCATAGCATGTTCTATCACTGGTATGCAGTGTATGTGCATTCTGGATATCGTGCTGCTTTAGCATTACTCTTCACTGTTTTGTTGTCTGTGCAAAGACAAAAACCAAAGTAAGACTTTGTCATTTCAGTCTGGGAGGCACTTATCCATATTGCAAAACCATTGTTAGATTTGGCATAATTGGTGGTTTCAGCAGGAAAAAGCTTGAACTTGAAGACAATGAGTCACCCACACGGCCCTTTCCAAGCAGTCAGCATTAATCTGTCAGTAGCTTTTCTTGAGAACTGACTTAAGGGTGGGGGGCTGTGAAGGGGTGCTTTTCTCAATGTTATGCTTCCTCTTTCACCCCTGCAGCCAGGAAGACACAGTGATACTTGGTAGACGTTTCACCCTTAAGAGCAATTAAAGTATGAAACATTAACAGGAGAGATTCTAGTGAGACTAGAGAAAAGTCTCAATTTTTAACCAGTGTGCTTGAGCATCTGTAATTTGACGTAAAGGGAGATTTCTGCCTGTGCCAGTTGTACACTAACGGGTCCAACTCTCTGATCTCTTCCTGTAAGAGAGGATTTTGGAGATGTCAGAACTCAACAGAAATCTTCCTGAGGCACCGTGGTCCAAGTCAGGCATTCCCAGTATTGCCTCAATTTGGATGTGATGGTTATTCAGTCTTTAGACTTAGGATCCTTGAACCCATTTGTCTTTGAGTTGCTCGTGCCTGAGAACAGATAAAATTCTTTATGCCTCTCAGTCTGCCTTGGAAAAAGGAAGCCTCTTTGTTTAGGCACCAATCATCTCTATCTCTTCTTCCACATCTGATAAAGAGTTATAACAGATGCTCTGTTCTGACTGGGAGAGTCAACAGTGTTTGGATTAAGGGAAGCCACCCTTGGAAAAGCTGCACCCTTCTCTCAGCTAGGATAACAATATGTTTTAGCTTGAGAAGGGATTTATTTTATTTCAGGGCTTGAGAGCCTTTGTTACTTAACTTGTAATACTTCAAGCAAGCCATTTTCTTTTAATTTATTTTCTACCTTTTACTTGTTGATGTATTTTAGCCTGGAGAAGAGAAAGCTATAGGATGACCTCATTGCAGCCTTTCTGTACCTAAAGGGAGCCTACAAATGGGGGTGGAGAGGGGTCAACTCTTTGAAAGGGTAGATAATAGCAGGTCAAGGGGAAATGGTTTCAAGTTGAGGGGGGGGAAAGATTTAGGTTGGATGTCAGGGGTAAGTCCTTTACCAAAAGAGTGGTGAGGTGCTGGAACAGGCTGCCCAGAGAGGCTGTGGATGCCCCGTCCCTGGAGGTGTTCAAGGCCAGGTTGGATGGGGCCCTGGGCAGCCTGGTCTGGTATTAAATGGGGAGGTTGGTGGCCCTGCCTGTGCAAGGGGGGTTGGAGATTCATGATCCTTGAGGTCCCTTCTAACCCTGGCCATTCTGTGATTCTATGGTATAGATCCATAGAGTCTCTATGTGGTAATCTCCAGGTTGGATGCATGAGGATGTATCTGAAGCTAAAGGGGATAACAAGGCATTGTGAGAGAGGCAGCACACTGTTTATTAGCTGTGACTAACAATTGGGTGTCATTATGAATTCTTTATTCATTTTGTGGAAAAGTAGAAAATGTTGATCAGTTTTATTTCTGCTTACTGATATTTTTGTTGGTTTTTTTCTTATTAGGTAATGAAGAAAGAATTTAAAGCCTTAGCACGAATGTGATCTGACATCCTTGATTTCTGTTCTGCAAAGTTGTTTTCGTTGGATGTTCTTCTGTTATTGTTGTGTGTAATTCAGTACTTTATGTAGATAAAACAAGTTTATCTTAACGTATATTTTTAATGTTCAGAAAGTCTTTCTAAGTGTTTTTATTTTGTATTCTTTCCCTGTATTTGTTGATATTTTGTGATGAATAGCTCAGACAGAAGGAGTACGGTCTTCTGAGATCAGTGCGTTCAGCTGTCCTCTGCGATGCACAGCACCTTAACCTCGTGTTGTGTGGTTTGTGAAGTACTGCAGTCAGTGCCTTTGTCACAATGTAGATGTGAATGTCTTCCAGATGCTTCCAGTGCCTCTTCTTAAAAGAAAAGGATGGAGAAATTGATAAGCCCATATCATCCTTTCTCAGATACATATTTTTTTCTGCAGAAATCCCTGGTGATGTATATTGTACAGCACGGTATGTGAGGGTTTTAAAACAAGTCTGATTCTGACATATGAAATCCAATGCCTTTAGAAAACTCTTAGTGCAGTTCAGAGACTTTTTTGGTTTTGTTTTTTTAAATTGCCTGATAGCATCTCAGGTGGCTTTCCTGGAATTAACAACAGAAAGACAGTCTGGGAGAAAACGTTTCCACAAAGATTTTTTGCTATGGCATATTTTCAACAATTAAAATCCCAGCTTGAGAGGCAAAGCCAGGCTTGGTATTGAAACTTCCTAACATGATGCTTGGTCTTGCTTCTAACAGTGACAATCTTTATACTGGAAAATAGTATTTTTAATATTTATTAATTTAATGTAAATTATTAGTTGAATTAAATTTGTAAATAATTTTCTTAGTGACAAAGAGAGAATCTATTTGTCTATTTCTTAAAAATGAACTGTATTTCACCAAAAATATATGTAAGAAATATCAGAGCAAGACTCTGTTTTAGAGGTCAATTCCTCTTCAAACCAGTGGAGAAAATTAATGTGACAACTTTTTAAATTAACGTAAGATGGGGGAAGGTTTTGTTTTCAAAAAGCAATTGTATCGTGATGAAATATGTAGCAGTATCTGTTGCTGGTATGTCACCAAATACCTAACTGTGCAATCCCCAAGTGTGCTTTCTTATGTGTGTTTTCTTGTTTCTTTCTAGTGTGTGCCAACATTTCTAAACTATGTGGGATTTTTTTTCCTCTGTATTGTTTGGATGAGTATTAATGAGGAATGAATGTCCATTTGTTTCTTTCTATTCATTAAAAATCTTAAAAAACAGTATGAGTCTGAAGACTTTAAAAGAAGTGCTTTATGGGAGTAGCTTACCTTGTTTATGCTATATTGCTTATGCGGCAATAGCGAAGGCAGGAGGAAGAAAAGCGTGCATTCAGAATTCACACATTAATGTATATTACTTGTTCTGTAACTTGGTGAGTATCACAGATTTGTTTGGGGTGTGCATGGGGTTTGCTGAGCTCATTCTCTGAGTGACTTTGTTGGAAATGTCTTTGTAATGGAGATGGAGTGGAGAAATCCCCAGTCTTTTCTGTAAGAGTTTCTGAGCTGCATACAATGCACTCTTGTGCCTCGTCCCTTATCACCATACAATCGTATGCAGTCAGCTCTCTGCATGGCAGCTCAAAGATTTCATCCTTACAAGGAGTGACTGGAAAGGAAGAACCAGGAGCATTCCTCTCACACAAACTTGATCTTCAGGCTATGCACAAACATCTCCTGTTGCTCATCTCAGTAACAAAGCACACTTCTACAGTTTTAGAAACTTAGAAGCCTCACTGTGCCATGAGTTGTTCCCTGTTACTGTAAGCGGTTCCCACGAGCCACTTTCTGCTTTTTCTCTTTTGGGAATCAATCACAGGTAGGGTCTGAGCCAAAGCTGCCAATAGTGATGGAGGAAATGGAAAGGCTGCTCCCAAAGTCATGCCTCCTATTTTATAACGTTGGCCAACACGGTCAGAGGTGGTACAGCAGTTGAACCTGCCCACCACTGCTGTTACATTTTGTCGTGTGGCAGATGGCAGCAGAGGGGCAATCCGATAGAATGGTGTCTGATACAGAAGTCCGTATGAAGTAAAGGTGTGGAATTGAATTCCTGCATGTGGAAGAAATGGCACTGACATGCATGGATGCTTGCTGAATGCTTATGGACACCAAAATGGGATGTGAGCACAGGGAGCTGGTGGCTGGTGAAACGCTGAGAAACAGCAGGTGAGCTCCAGTAGTGCACATCTCTGTGAGCGCAGCGTGCAGCCGTTCACTGCTGGCAAAAATACATAGCTGATGGTGTGGCTGTTGAAAAATAGCATTTCTTAGCTGAGAATTTGCTCTGTCCTCCGGTGTTACTGTGCTCTTTGTGTTTGTTGTCGTTTCCAAGGAAAGCAGCGGGCAGCATGACTTTCGGAGCAGCCTACGCACTATGTAAGCACGGTGCGTTGCAAAGTATCTCGGTGGCAGCTAACAGCGACGTGTCCGAGACGGCTGGAGAAAGATGTCCAAGTTCCACCTCTAGCCAGAGCACGGGGCTGTGCGGGTCGTCTCTTCCCCCGCCCGCGGCACGGCGGCTCGGGACCGCGCCGCGCCGCCGTCGCTCAGGGCCGGGCACGTGCGGAAAGCCGCGGGTGGAAGAAGCTGACAGGCGGGCGCTAACTTAGCGGGCACCGTCGCGGGCCCGGACCGGCCTCCGCCGGGTGTCCGCCGCCGACGGGCGGGGCGGCGGCGGGGCGGCGAGCGGCTCCGCCCCCGCTCCCTGCGAGGGAGGCAGAGGCACGGCCGCCGCTGCCCGTCCTCCCCGCGCGGCCGCCCCGGGGCAGCGAGGCGCCGGGAGGATGCGAGTGCGCGCCGCGGGCGGCGGCGAGGCGACGGCCCGGGCGGCGTTGGGAGTTCCCGGCTCGGCCGCCGCCCCCCCGCCCCAAAAGAAGTGCAGTAGTTTGTGAGACGCAAGATGGCGGCGCGGCCGTGAGCGGAGGAGGCGGGCGGGCGGCGCGGGCTGAGGCGGCGCGGCGGCGGCGGCGGCGGCGGCAGGTACGGCCGGCGGTCCCTGCGGCGGGGAGGGGGCTCAGGGCGGCGGGAGGTCACCCGGGGGCGTGCCCGCTCCTCCTGGCGACTGGCACGGCGCTGTCCGGCGGGGCAGGGCGGGCGCCTCCCCGGGGAAAGGGCGGCTCCAGCCCCGCGGGGGCGGGCGGGCAGGGGGAGTCGGGCCCGGCGGGGCCGCTGCCTCCCGCGGGGTGGGCGCGGTGTTCCGGCCCCGCCCGCCGCCTCCCCTTTGTCTGGTGGCGGAGCGCGCGCCCCGGAGCGTGCGGGCGTGGAGCGGGCGTTTGTATGTGCGGGGAGCGGCGAGGAGCCCGCGCTGGGCTGCGGGGCGCAGCTCCTGCCGGCCGCTTTTCCCCTGCCTCTGCGAAGTCGGCAGCCTGCGCGCGCTGTCGCTCGCCGTGGGATGGAGGAGGATTCTGCGGAGTTGTCAGCTGGAAAGGAGAGCGGAGAACTTTCATTTCACTGCCTGAATCGGCTGGCCGGCTTCTGCCGAGGGCTGGTGGGCTTCCTCCAGGTGCTTCGGGCTGCTGTCGTCCGAACCGCCGAGCTCGGGGCAATGCCTCTTTGGCTCCTGAGGATGCCCGCGGCACGCCCCGATGCCCGGCTCTGCGCTCAGCAGGATGCACGGGGCTGGAGCTCGGCACCCGCTCCCATAGCCGCGCACGGAGGCGGGCAGCGCTCTGGCAGGTGCCCGTGCTTCACTTCTGAGCCGCTCGGGCTTCAACCGTGGAGGAGTTTGCTTTGTGTCCCGGTACCGCGGGCAGTAACTCAGGCTGAGATGTTGCTCTCCGAGCTGCGATCGATGCCTTCTGTTTTGCAATGGAGAGCGCGGTGGGGATGTCCTAGTGCTTGCAAACGTTACATAAATAAGCGGAGCTTGTTGTGAAAGTTGTTAGGTGGACACAAAGAGCCCATTAAAGGTAGAAATGAGAGCGGGATTCTGAGAACTGCTTGGTTGGCTTTTACCAGCAGCTGTTTTGTGTGTGTGCACAGTAGGCTCTCATACACCATCACCTGTGGGTGCTGACAGAAGCCCATCTCCGCTGCTGGGTGCTGGCTGTGTGCTGCAGACTGTAGGGCTGCCCTCAGTGCAGAGCTGTGACCGAGCACACACCATGCACAGAACCCAATTGTTCCTGCCTTGACCTCCTGCCAGCGAGGCTGTACCTCAGCCCTGCTATGAGAGTTCCCCAGGCCAGAGTGCAACGGGTGCCGCTTGCTGTAAGCGAGGTGATTTACTGCTGACTTCAGGCAAGGGGTTTGTGTAACTTTGCTTGGCTGAGAAGCCCTTTGCTGTTGCCTTATGGCAACATCCCTGCATGGACGGACTGTTCCAGATGCGTATTGTTGAGATAGAGCGTGTGGTGCTTCCCTGCTCATAGCCTCCTTAGGGTGCTCCCTGGTCTTCTCCTCTCTGTCACCTCTCTGATGTTTTGGTGTCTGGCTGTAACTGGTGTCGTTGAGCTCTGTGGCAGTTAACAGAACAGCCTATTCTGTTCCTGCATGCCAGCGTATCACTGGAGAGTGCTGGAGCTGCTTGTTGAGCTGTTCTGCCTTCTGCAAGTTTTTCCTCACTGAAGAATTTCAGCAGTGACAGCTGTGTTGGGGTTCCTTTTGTTCCTGAGGTACCCAAAACACTTTCCTTGTTTCCCTGCCTCAGCAGCCTGTAGCGTTTCACTTTGGGCTCCTTGCTATCCTTCAGCTTTCCCACATTTCCCTCGCTCATTTCCTTATAGCCTGAGGGAGAGGATTGAAATTTGCTTCAAGTTTTCATCAAGTTGTTGCAAACACTGACAGCATTTTGGTTGGATGTGACTTTTGGGTTTAGAAAAGTCTTACTTCAAAGATATGTGACCATGTTAAATCTTTCCCCAAGTTTAAGAATTTTTCCATTCTTATGCAACTGTAACTTGTGAAGCCCTAAATCAGTATAAACTGGTTTTTGTCCTGTTTGCACACAGTAAATGCAATCAGGGCATAACCGCTTGCAGCTAGGCCGTGCGTAACCTTTATTTCAGTGATCAGTTTCCCTTTCTCTGTCGCATAGGATTTCCCTGTGCTAAATGCAGTGTTTCTATATTATGAATTTGATTTCTTTAGTTTTTAGAAATCGTGAGGCTGTCACCAAGTTGATAGAATGATTGTTTCAGCGTCTGTTTAATGAGTGTAAGTCACGAATGCTAACAGTCTGAAGGGGGAGGAAACTCCAGGCATTTTTGGCTGGGTGCTGAGGGCCTGGACGTGCTGTTCCCTGCTGCAGGTTAATGGCCGGTGTGCCCTGTCCCACTGTGCTCTGAGTATGAGGTCACTGATCCACAACTGCCAGGATGGTTTGCCTCGGAGTTGTCATGCCCTTGTCAATACAGTACCATTTCCCTGTCTGTTGTATTCAGCATCTCCTCACCAGGCAGCAGTGTAAGTCCCAGTGTTCAGGTACATGATGTATCTGTCCTTCAACACATCAGTGGCAGCACCTTTGCTGAACAGATGCTCATAAGAATCCAGTGTTGTGTTTTTTTAATTAACTTTCTCATATTGTCAAATCAGGTGTTCGGGATGCTTCTTTCTTCCCTGCACCAGGGAGATGTTTACTTATGTTTTCAGCATCTTTATTTTCATTATTAATTCTGATTTATTGTCTTTTTTCCAACTCATCATGTAGGGTGGGGGTTTTTTTCGGTGTTTTTTTTTGTTTTGGTTTTTGTGTTATTGGTGTTGTTTTTTTTTCTGCTAGTTGGGGACCTTCCTGAGTATTCAAACCACTTTACTGCACAAACAGTTGTTTGTTTCTCTGTGGAGGTGGAAGCCGCCAATGATGATGCCTTTCCTTACCCTATTGCCAGATGGCATTTTGTAGTCCTGCCCTACGCATCGCTTTAACGGATGGTTCTTTTCCAGTTCTGTGTCTTTCTGGGAGGTGCTTCACAATGTCCACTGATAATTTTCTGATGTCCTGCAGAGTACAGGAGCATATTGTGTACAACAGGATCTCTTCTAACCAGCCTTGGAAGTCTGTCTGAACACAGCAAACGTCTGCTCTCATCACGTGTGGGGAGATGTGTGACACTCTCTTATCCTTCAGTGCTTTGAGGTTGCAGTAACTGTTATAAAGTTCAGTAGAACTCACTGATAAGGAGTATGTTCTTAAGGAATGCAGATGCAGAGTGCATTGTTTATTTTACTGTTACCTTGAGTTGTGTAAAGTGCATCATCACACTCAAGCACTGAAAGGAGAACTACTGACCACTGAAGGAGCAGCAGATGTGGCTGGATGGGAAAACACTGGAGGGAAAAACTGTAAAGAACTTCAAAGCTGTTGCTACTTTTTGCACTCCTTAAGTGATGTTGAAGATCATGGGGTACCTTAACAATGAAAAACCCTTCGGAAGTTTGAACTCTGCTGTGCCTCACACGCCTAAAAGAGCCCAGTGTGTTCTACTGCTAAAGAATGGGCTTCAAACTGTGTCTGGATCCACTCAGTAAAGTCGTTTGGTATTTTAGGTTCACGTTGTGCAACTTGGCCCTCCCCTGTGGCTTTTGGAATCTGCTGCTCACCTTTCTTATTCACTGATCCCAGCAGAGGATGAAGGACCTTAATGTGGGCACCTGCAACTGAAGCTGGTCCCCAGCACCCTGAAGGCTGACAGCTTTGTTTCAGCAGCTGCAGACGGCGCTGTGCAGTGAGGCGTGTGTAACACCAGCCCTCGCTTTTTGGCAAAGCCAGAGCTGTTCTGTGCACAGCCTGAGTGCCAAATCCACCCCACAGGCAGAAGGACAGAAAGGAGCTTTTGAATTTTCCAGTGGTTATGGTAAAAGCTCCACGTGTTCCACACACTGAATCTTCAGGGCATCTTAAGAACCACGTACAATGGGCCAGAAAGAGCTGCCAGTTCATAATGAGTGCTGTGTGTTAGGCACACGTGGTATTGGTTTTAGGGCATGATTTCTTCCTTATAGGTTTGACTTACCTTACAAGGATGCTAAGAATTTCAGAGGCAAATGTGTATTTGTGTAGTCCCAGGCTGTCTTATTGGAGATGTCTATGCTTGGCTTTCCTATAAATTGAGGTATGTTAGCCTAAGCAGGTTATGATACTGATGTGATTGTATTTCTCCCTGCGTTATAGAGAAAGACATGCTTTGTTCATCAACATGCCGTTGAATTTAAGACTCTCCTAAGGGAACTGTGCATGAATGTTGGGCTCTGTTTAGCTCAGTGGGACAAAATGAGATGTAGGAATGTCATAGGTCATCAGAAGAGTAAAGGAGAGGCACTTGGAAGAATCAGGCAGGAACAGTTATTAGTACGTGGCGGTTAAACCTTCATTGCAGCTGTGTGCTTCTTCGAAAAGTCACCATTCCTAGTTATCTTCAGACTTCTTTCAAAATAGGAAAATGCTGCTTTTTTATAAATAGGTCAGCTGCCATCAGCAACATCTGCAGGAGCTGAGGGTGCTGTGCAGATCAGAGTTGTATCAGCAGTTCAGCTCTTGGCAGCAGTTGCACAGTGAGCCTGGATGAAGCAAGCATGAAAATTCAGGGGTTTCTGTTTCTCAGTAGGATTCTCAGCAAGCCGAAACACATTTGTAGCGTGGATGGTGGAATTCTTGGAGCATTCAGCACCGCACTGCATCCAGCCTGGTTGTGTTGGAAACTTAGGGCTCTCTCCCACGAGGTTCTTTGTAAGGATGGGGACTGGAGAAGGTGCTTTGTGAGGTCAGTGCTGGGGGAACTGGTGCCCATACCAGATACCTGCTGGTCTTGAAGGCATCTGTGTGCATACGATACAAACCCACACAACTTTACTCCTTCCATCTGACAAATGTTTTACAAATTTTGCTTCTTAACGTGGTTTATTTAAATGTGCTGGAGGAGGCTGTGGGTGAGCAGAGAACTAATGTTTTTGATTTTATGAACAGAAATAATTTGTGATGGAAGGAGGCTTTTTTTCTTCTTTCTTTTCTCTCTCTCTCTCTCTCTTTTTTTTTTTTTTTTTTTTTTTTTTTTTTTTTAGGGGATGATTCCAACTTTGGGTGTTTCATTTTACAATCCGCAAACAGGCATTTTAGCATTTTAGATCTGATTCTTGTCAGGTCATCCTTTGGTTTTTTTTTTTGTTTGTTTGTTTGTTTTTGTTTTTAATACTCTAATTCTTGAATTCTGCCAGGAGAAAAATAGGGGTATGCTAATATTAGTTGTTTATTTCCTTTCGAGGGAAGGAGTGAAGAGGCGAGAAAAGAGTAACATTGGAATAAAACAAATAAAACAAATTTGCTCCTTGCAAACGTTCTGAGGAAATAGATGTGTATGTACATCCTTAGAAATACATGTCTAATTTTAGTCTTGAAATATAGAAAGGGAGATGCTTTCTCTTTCAGCATGCACTGAAATTTGACTTTAAAGCTTTCCAGTGCATTCATATTTGTGGGGCTGATGACAGAGCAAATGATCGTACTGTGTGATCACACGTGCGTACTGACCGAGAGCAGCCAGCACTCCCGGTGCGCTTTAGGCCATGCACGTATGGGCATGAGCTAGTTTTGAGGGCAAAATGTCAGTCTGTTCCCTTATTTATAGGACTAAGCAACCCATTTCTGGAGCCGATCCCCATGAAGCGGCTGTGTGCAGCCTGTCCGGACTGTGCCCTTGTCAGCGCGCTGCGCTCGGGCCTGGCAGCCGGCTTCTGAGGGAGCCTGGGCCCAGCGCCCGCTGACACCAGGGCAGCAACTCCGTGCTGCTCTGCGTGGAAAGATTCGCTCATTTCCACCCAAAGCGGTGAAATAGAAACGGGCAGCCATTTCATTTTGAAATACCCCGCCCTCCTAAACAAATATTAAAAAGAAAATGTAGGTTTTGGCCCGTGGGTATCCCAGTAATTTCCACTGATTAAGTTGACGCTTGTAATTGGGATCTCGATGGTCCGTGTTTTACAGAACATTAAGTATCTTTGTTTTTTGATTTCAGTAGAGGAAGTCACAGGATTTATACAGTCCTTTTGATATTTTATTTAACCCGATAACTGCTTGGGAAGGTAGGAGCCTGTTTGGTTTACCTTTGTCCTAGATTCAGTTTTAATATCTAATGCATAAATGAGAGGGGTGATCTTTATTCCTAATGATTCATGCTGCCTCAGAGCACCGTGGTTTCGAGTTGTGCTGCCTTTCCCACTGGGGGATGCAAACAAAAGAACAATAATTTCAGACTCCTCCTTCAGTTTCCAAGAGAACCTTAGCTGCTCAGGGATAGCTCTGAATTTTAAAAGCATTTTTCTTCCAAATTATGTATTGATTGCACATAAAATAGCAGTGCTGTAATGTGCAATTTAAAACAAATGCATGATGGCGCTCATTTGCTTTTAATGCTGCTTTTTTCCAGCAGAAAACAAAAAGGGGTTTCTGTTCCCATAAACCAGTCTTGCAAAACCCTTACAAACATTTATTAGTCTAGACACAAAATATTCTCACCCAGCCTCATCCTGACGATGGCAAAAAGAAACCGACAAGCTAATATTGTACTTGGCTGTCCAGAAAAAATAAAAAAGAAAGGGATGCTGGGGGTGAAGGGTGGGAATCTAGCCCCAGGCCACCAAACCAGTAACGTTTTGCTGGGGCTGCCTACAACAACAGATGCGTTTGATTCCTGTGGGTTTTCCAGGCCTGCCTATTCTCTTATACTAAACTTGGACACTCTCATAAACATTCTCTCTCAGCACCACACCCTGGTCTTATCCTGGACTCCTTGGAGTTGGTTGATTTAATAATGACATTAGACACTTTGTCTTGCCTCTCTTTACCCGTTTTTCTGTTCCTCTTCTTGCCCTGGAAGTGACTTAACAAATGCATTAATTCAAAAACATTTAAAATATGTGGGAATTGGAATAACTGGTCGAAATCAAAATGATTTAATATGGGAGATTTGACCACAGTTTAAGTCTGAACGTATGGAGCATTGGTCTAAATGATCTATTCTAGTTTTGAACTGCATTTGGACTTTTGATATCTTTCATAAATAGCAAATGCTTCTTATTGTTTGGTTTCATGGTTGTTTGCAGACTTTTGCTTAGAGGGATAAATTCTCTCTATAAGTGTTATTTTATCAGGTGTTTACCTCAGCATTCAGTTACTCACAGTATTAATTTTTACATCTCATCATTTTCTTAGAAAATAGTGAGTTACACATATCTTGTGTTTCAGACGACGATTAGCTCCTGTCACTCCCAATTTATGCCAGGCTACATTTGGTTGGAAATTAAAATTTAATTGAAAATTTGCCTAAGCAGCATAATGTGTCTGTATTATTAATTAGTTGCTGTAAATATGGAGAATATACAAGAATATGTGTTTGTTGAAGCTTTTAAAAACCCATAAAGGAGTCAAAATACAATACTTACTTACACTTAGTAGATTACATTGATTGTTTCTGTGGTGATATATCCATGTATGTTCAGGTTTTAGTCCCAGTGGAGCTCGTGCTCAAATCCTAACTGGAGATCTTACAAAGGAAATAAAATGTCCTGCTTTTTCAGCTCTGAGGGAGTGGAAACTTCTCTTATCATTCAGAAAATGATTTGCATCTCCACTCAGTGCAACTGTCTTCAAAGTGAATGGCTTTCTATACAGTTAGTCGCCACTGATTCCATGTTTTCATCAAGAATTTCCAAGTGGCATCTAAAAAGAAAATATGTATATATTAACCAAGTTGTTTTTTCTTCGTTTTTATATTCCATTAATAAAAATGGATCTGTTTATAGTTAGAACAGTACTTCAGCCAGTGATCAGTGCACTTAAATGCAGATGACTGCTTTAATGTTGATAAACCAGGTGTTACTTACGAGGGAATGTGTTCAGTGCATTCGTAAAATATTATCATAAATTAACAAAGTGTTTCTAATTAATTGATTTTGATTTTCCTCCTCTAAATAATAGCATGCTTAAATGCAACACTGATTGTTCTCTTCCTGCGTGGCCCCCAATGCTATCTTCTGTGGCATGCAATTTTCTTGAGGTTTTCTCATGCTTCTTAAGTCTGTTTTCGTAGCACACATGGTATTTTAAATAAAATTCTACTGTCAGTTCTCATTTAAATCAGTCAGAACACTGTTTTGACCCTAGGATATCTATGCAGCTTTAAATTACCTGTATATTTTAAAACAAAACTAATCCGATTTTGTGTTTAAACTTAATGTAAAAGCCCTGCAGCTATTCATTTGAAGCACAGTGTTTTATTTAACTGCATACTTTTCACTTAAATCTTGTTGTCCTAATTTTCCATGATTATACCAGTACGTGGCAGACAGGTGAAATAAAGTAGCCTGTTTCTTTAATCCACTTTCTCTCTTCCCTGCCAGGACAGCTGGGCTCCTTCTGCCAGAGTAGCTCACACCACTGACAGCTCTGGGAAAGCAGAAAAAGGTGCAGCCCCTGTTCTACCTCTGGCAGCTCCCAGACTGGAGGTGGAGATTACAAATGGGGATCTGGGCAGTTAAGAGAGGGGAAATTAAGTCAGGAAGTCAAGCATGTGGTCAGAATGTGGGGAGTGAGCCTGGAAGGGGTGTTGGCTCCTTTAAAAGCCTTTATTTCTCCCTGGTAACTTGAGTACACTGTTATCTCTCTGACTTCCCCAGGTGACTGAACTTCCAGATTCAGCTTTTTATTCAGCTCATTATCCTTGGAAAGCTCTGTATTCCCATGTCTTTTACTCCTTTTGTCACTGGCCTCATTGGCAGTAAACAGTGTTTATCCACTCTGTGAGTACACAGAATAAGACGCTATCTCCCACAGAAATCAGCAGGAGCATCTTAGTAGTACAGAACAGTGCTCAGCAGGAGGATGGAGTCGGGTCACTGTTGCAAATAAAAATGCTTCGCTTTTTGCAAAGGTTAGCATGGAACCCAGTGGTGTTTTATTAGGTGGTTGAGACCTGCAGAGACTGGTTCTGCAGGCAACTCAGTCTGGCCTCCTCGCTTGTTGTTATGAGGTGATGCATCCCCAAATCACAGGGGGATGTCTTGGTTTCAGCTGGGATCGCAGAATCACGGAATTGATGGAATTGTTTTCTTCGGAGTGTCTGGTACGATTCTGTGTTTTGGTTTTAGGAGAATCCTTTTCTCTTAGTAAACAGTTTTAGCTCAGCCCACAAGTTCTACTTTGTTTTTCTCTATTCTCTCTCTTCTCTCCCCCATCCCACTGGGACGCTTTGTGGGGGACTGAGTGAACGACTGCGCGGTGCTCAGCCACCTGCAGGGTTAAACCAGAAATAAAGCAGAACAGACGGCCCTTCTGGACATTGGCTAATCCAACCTCCTGCTCAAAACAAGGTTAACTTTGAAGTTAGATAGGGCTGTTCTGGGTCTTGCCAAGTTTTGAAAACTTCCAAGAATTAAAATGCCTTTAAAGTTCCCAGTACATCTCCACAACCTCTGCAGCAACTGCCTGCACTCCATAGCCAGCACTGAGATGCTGTAACTGCCGTGGCTGTGCCCCAAAGTTCTTCAGGAGCAGACCGAGGGTATGTTGGCATTGCGCTGTGATACTCACCAATGTAAGCAAGCTTCACATTCTCGTCTTGATCTTGATGGTAGTTCAGCACTGCAGTGGGGGTATTGCACTTAATGGCAGAGTCTGAATGCCCTGCATATGGAGAGGGAAGCTCAAGTGTTTCATACTTGTGAAAAGTGAAAAGTGTGGATGCGTGATCAGTGTTGGATCAGGCTGGAGGATAACATCCTGAAGAAATTCTGGAAGGTCAGCTGTGCTTGCAGGCATGGACAGAAAGTTGTATACATGTCACCATTATGGAGGAGTCTGTCAGTGGGGACCAGGTGAATTTTAGCTTTTGTTCACCTTGAATTATGTAACTTGCCTTACAGTAAAGTTGATATATGATGCTGGAAGCCATGTTAAAAAGATACACATATCTGAAATGTCAGCCACAAAGTCATGTTTTTGACTTGCAAGTGGAGAAGCAAAGCATGTGACAAAATAAACAGAAGACTTAACTGTGTAGTGCAGTCTTTGATCTTCTCATAAAGTGGAGCTGAGGTGCTGTAGGAGCCTTTTAGAAGGGGTGGGATGGGAGCAGGTGAGGCTGGGGCATGCAGAAGGGGTAGTAAGGAAGTGCAGGTGAGCAAAAGCCCAAAGGGCCTGTGTGGCTCTGAAGAGTAGTTGCAGCCTTGATGGCAGCCTTAAAGTCCATCTCAACAAGTGCTGGACTAGGTTTGTACAGTAGGATCTTTTTTTTCAAGTGACACTCCATGTATGTGCTTATTTCTATTCATAGAATACTGGCTCCTACAAGCACTGGATTCATGCTTTTATGTTCAAATGTTTTGGAATCTTTTACAAATTACTTAAATCCAGGATCTGTATTCTGGTGTATTCAAGTCTGTGCATGGAGTATGTAGCAGTGCGTGTTAGCATCTTGTGGTGAGTCCATTCCAAGTCCTTGTTTTTGTTTTCCTAAGATCTCTGATGTGAGAATTTCTGACTTATTTCTGCTTTAGGGCTGTTTTTCTTTGAAAATTCCTTGAATTTTGGGGAAACGTTCAACTGGTTCAAAAGCAAAGTGAGCAGAAAGTGAAGAAGGAAGCAAGAGATAGAAGTGAGGCAGACTCTGTACGAACCACTTTATCTTTTCCTGAACAGCTCTGTGCCTCAGGGATTTGACATAGGAATCAAGATTTGGCAAGGATCTAGCCCTGAGGTCTGAGAAAAGTGTTCTGCTGTTTTCAGAGAGAGAGAGGGAAAACGGGAGAAAAAGAAAAGAATTTGGCAGAATTATGGGCCGTAATGTATTGCTACCTTTTAGTATCCAAGGTAAAATTTACGGGATGTTTTGTCATCTGCTCTTGATAGTAGTTTTATGCCTGTCATGCACATTTGCATGCTTCCTTAGACCACCTGCCTTAAGTGGGTTCCCCTCCTCTGAGTAGGTTGGTACATTGGCATGCAGCAGCGCGGTGCTGGCCTGGTGTCAGGTGGAGAAGCTCTGGGAGCTAGCAAGCCCTGAGCTCTCGTCCCACTTGTTTAAGGGTAGAGAGCTCCCAAGCCTGTTAATTGCCGTTGAGATTTCATTTCACTACAGCAAAGGGAAAATAATAACGAATGCAAATAGCAGCTGATCTGGAATCTGGTTTGCAGTGTGATGAGGGCATGCACAGTTAGTTTCAGCCGGTGGAGGAGGGGGAGAGGAGAGGGAGACAATCTGTGCTGAGCTGTGTCACCTCTAACAGCGCGGGGGTTCCTGTATAGCAACGAGATGATGAGAGAATGAGTTGGGCTATCTAGCAAAGGAGACCATCTGTAGGGCTGCTGCGCTCCTCCCCGAAAAAGCTGAAAGGTGCCTGGGGACACGAGCTCCAGGAAGTGAAAGGAAGGTCTGGTACTTCCAGCACTAGGCTAGGGCCTGGGAAAGATAAGGTCTCTAGAAATTTTTCAGCTGAAAGAAAAAAAACAAACGCACATTTGAGTTGAAAGGAACATTTTGTGAAGTCGTGTCTGTGCCAGATTGCTTCGTTTTAAAGAAGGAAATCCAGGAGAACAAAACCTTTTGTTTTGATGTTTTAAGGAGAAACTTTTTCATAAACAGTTTCTAAAACGAATCAATTTTAACTGTTATGGTTTTTAAAAGCTAACCTGAAGCAAACATTTTGGGGGTTGAATTAAATGCTTAATCAACCCAAAATGCATTCTGCAGTCTTTTCAGGTCAGTAATGTTATTTCCTCTTCCTTTCCGTTTTCAGTGTAACAGCACAGCAAGCAAAACAAAATAGCCGTAACTATGCAGAAAAATCAGTCTCCAACTCTGCTCCCATTTTGTTGGATATGACGGACATTTATATCAGCCAGGTCTGTTACTTTTAAGAATGATCCTGCAGAGATGGTAAAAGCACTGAGTGCTCACAGTGTGAATTAAATACTGTAGGGGGCTAAAAATCAAGACCTTCCTATGTGATGTTGGGCTGCTAAAATAACAGAAAATACTTGCTTATTTATGTGCCTGAGGAGCAGAAACAGGAGCCATATATGTTAAAGATGCTGGCTCACCAGTACACCCGTGATTGTTAAGTACCTATCAGATTTGATCAGTAGCTCTTATGTGATCAGACCTAAAACCTGGCTAAGGTTTTGTGTCAAAAGCAGTAGGATGATTTGTGCTCACTGTAGAGGTACCTGGAAAGTATTTTCTAGCAGAGAAAGATAACATGGGTCATTTAATGATCACTTCTAACCTAAAATGCTGATGTTTACTGTGATGGATATCATGCTCATCCTTTAAAACCAACGAGGATTGGAGTTAACCATGAAGATTGTCATATATTCTCTGGCAGGCTCCTTTTAGTCTCCAGAGGGCTTCATGTTCACTTCCCATTTCTCAGCCTCAGCTCAGGTCTGGTTTTGGCTTATTAGATGGTGTATGTGGGCAGGAGTAGAGCAACTTTTGGTATTTGCCTGCGGGAGCCATTGCAAACTAATGCAGCAAGGACTTTAAGCTTGCCCCTGTATTGCAGCACACCTGAAGTCCTACTGCTATGAGTCTGATAGATTTTGCTCCCATTTTGATGTGGAACATGTTTTAAAACTGGAATGAAATGTGAATATTGTGGGGTTTACACTGAGATTTGGTTTTATTTTAGAGTAATAAGCAGTAATATCTTCTATACTTTGCAGGTGTTGAACAACTGAAGAAACTGGCTCAGTAAAACATCATCTTTCGCCTTCCTCACTGAAAGGCAGTACAGTTGCAGTCCCATCAGAGCAGATTATGGCTATACTGAGCTCTGTGCAGAATAGTTCTTGGCTTGGATACAGCGACTCAGGCAGAATGGTAATAGTTAAGAGTGGGCTAAACAAAGGACTGACAGTTCCATATTGTTGCGGATTGACCAGAAGCTGTACAAAGAAGACAAAGCACAGCTTTCTGTGCTGACAAAGGCAATTTATGATGTAGGTGATCTTAAAAGTTAGAAGCGATTCCCATTCCTCAGTCTTCTGCTAAGCTACCCTATTTGTGCACATTCTTCCAATGGCATTATTTGAGTTTGGCTCTATCTTGTTTTGTGTTTTTTCCTCTTTTTTTTTTTTTTGTATGGTGGATAGAGGTGTCATGCAGCAAGTAGGGAAAATGACTTTTCATAAAGCATGCAGCCTGAACACGTGTGTACAATGTGTTCTGTAACCTCATTTATTTTGTGCAGCATCAGCTTTTCTTGTTTGGAGGCTGGAAGGAAGGGATGAGTAATAATTTTGTCCTGGAAACGGGTTCTTTTACTTCTTTTTCTGTTATTGTGAACCGTGTCTTTTCCTTCTAAAACTCTTATCAAAGAGGCAGGAAGTTTCTGCCTGTGTTTAGAAAATGCTTACATAAATCTTTATCCAAATCTGCTACGGAGACAACATCTAAGTGTTGAATTTCACTCTGGAGGATGTCTGTCCTAGTAAAATTATTAATGAATTGGGGTTAGTGTCTGTGTTCTATTTCTGAAGAGCTGTGTCCTGAGCAATTGCCAGTTGAAAGATAAAAATGCAAGTTCCTGGACCTTCAAAAATGTGTGCCTGCACTCACTTTATTTTTTTGTTTGTATCTGGGAAAATACCTTTTATGGACTGGTTTTGCTAGAAATGTCAGTTGTATGTAATTTTACCCCAGATTTTGAAAAAGTGCCATTCTTCGCCTCTAGGGTACGACTGGCTTTCTGTGCTGCAAGCACACATTGTTAGCTTGTCCTTTTTTTTCCATCTGCTGAAACATCCAAGGCTGATCTCGATCCATTCATCTCTTAGTTGTGTGCTAATGTTTGGAATTGTTCTAATTCAGGTGTATTACTTTGGTCTTAGCTTTGTTTAACCTTAGATTCACAAGAGCTTGTCTTTCAAGCTTGTCAGGTCCCTGTGGATGTCATTCCTTCCTTCTGTCCTGTCAGCTCTACCACCTAGCTTGGTATCATCTGCAGATTTGCTGAGAGTGCACTTGATCCCACTGTCTGTGTCATTAATAAAGATATTAAACAGTACTGGTCCCAGTATGGACCTCTGAGGCCACCACTCATCAGAGATCTCCACCTGGATATTGACCCACTGACTGTAACTCTCTGGATAAAGTCAGCCAGCCAAAGATGCTGCTTTTGGCATATTGTGAATACTTGAAATACTTTGTGAGAAACCAAATTGCACAATACAGTTTCAGTATAGAGAAATAAAAATACAGTCCAAACAGGAATAGAACACCTTAAAAACATTTTCTTATATATTTGATCCTGAAGTATGTAAGGGGCAAGCCAAAGAGTACTCTGGACCATTAGTGATGGTCTTTAAGAATTTGTGAAGGCTGAGGGGTAGTCTTTGTGGACACGAAACAAGCAAACATAATGGCCAATATTAAATGAGAGAGCAGAGGAGGAGGACATGCAGAGAAATACACATCAATTAACAAAATATTCGTTCCCAGAAATATTTAGGACAAATTTACTAAAAAAAAAAAAAAAAAAAAAAAAGCTATCTTTAAGCACCTAGAGAGTGAGATTCTTTCTTTTAAGGAAAAAAGAAAAGGTGAATTTCTCAAAACCAAGTCCCACACACCACGCCAAGCCAATTAATTTACTTTCATTCCCTGTTAAGGGAACAGGATGTCACAGACCCTGCCAAAGACAAAATACATGACGGGGCTGCACTTGGTGTTCTTGTAAGAAGTACAGAAAGGATGTTTTAGAGGAACTTAAGCACAAAGGTGATGCATAATTGCTTTGATTTTTTATGCAAGTATGAGTTTTCATAATTACCCGATAAAGTGAAAGAGCACGTCAAGCAGCATGCTGCAGATGAAGTAATCCCATTGGTAACCAGTGCAAGGGAGTGGAGGTTTCTGTACAGTTTGTAGAGGACAGAAGGCTGAGAAAGGTTGCAAACATCTGGCTTTGTTGAGATTTTAGTGAATGCTGTTGTAGCTCTTGACAGCTCTTATTTACACAGGATTCTAAAATCACAGTGTCCTGTGGGGAAAAAAAAAAAAGAAAAAAAAAGAAAAAAAAAAGTAATGTAATGAATATCATAGAACAGTTTGGTTTAGAAGGGATCTTTAAGATCATCTAGTTCCAACCCTCTGCTACAGGCAGGGTCACCTTCCTCTAGACCAGGTTGATCACAGCCCCATGCAGCCTGGCCTTGAATGCTTCCAGGGGAGGGAGGTGAGTATAGGAACAGTTTCCTGCTCAGTAAACAGCAGAAGAATGGGATAATCTTCTGTGCATGGTGAGCAAAACCAAACCACAGCAAAAAGGGACATGTTACAGAGATTAAACTACAAAGGCACAGATGATCCAGTTGCACGTAGGCTTATAGGCACTATGAATGTTGTTTGCTAAGGGAGGGAATAGGGGAGAAACGCTTATTGATTTGTTGGACAGGGTTTGCACTTTATTTATTATCTCAAGCTTTATCTAGGCATGCTGCAGTATTGTGCGTGAGGTCAAACATTGCTTTCTTTCACTTGTGCTCTGGGCCAGCCCACCGTGACCCTCAGCAAGCCCCTGTGCCCATGCAGGCAGCCGCATACTGATGGGTCCCACGTTCTCCATTCTGGATGGGTACTGCAAAGGCATCTTAGTTACCTTCCAAACTGCAACTTCAGCCAGCTTTCCTGGCTGCCAAGAAGCTTTTGAAAATTGGTATTCCTGAAATTGTACTCAAGATGGCAGAAGGATTAGGTAATACCACCCAGCTCTTCTCCAAGAGAACTGCTCAGCGTTCAGTTTTGGCCGCTGTCTGCCTTTTGTGATGAGCCCTCTGGCCCCACACAGAAGCAGCACAGTTAATGGCACCCTACCTCTCATCCCTCAGAACGTGGAGACAAATGGATCCATTTGGCTTTGCTTCCTGGTTTTCTCACTGCAGAGATAAATGAGGTGGCCTGTGATGCATACTTTGTATATACATTAAAATAAATACTTTTTGCACCTCTGTGCTATTTTCCAGAGTGCCAGCACTAGTTTGTGGAATACGAGTGTCTTTCAAGTCTGGTGCTGTTAAATAATTTCAATCCTGAAATGATGATCACCTAAGATTTATCTGTCAGCGCTGTTGGTGTCCTTAATGCTGTGTAACCACACCCTTGGTGTAAGGAGTCCGTTGTGCCAGGCTGTGCAGAGAAGAAATACAGGTAGATTTGGAGATCACTTACAAACATTTGGGGAGGATTTTTGCAGAAAACTGTGGTGATGTGCGCAGTGTCAAAAACAGAGTTTACAGAGCAGCACTGTCTGGTAGCTATAGATGAATACTAATGTCTTCGGCCTTAGGAAAAAAATGTGAAGTTAAGAACAGCCTTTGCTGCCCACATAATGAAAATTTTGTGTTTGGAGTGGAAATGGTATTTTTTTTTTCCCCTTCTCACTTCTTTACTCTTCCTTTTAACTGCTCTTCTTTTTCTTTTAAGATTTGGTCATGAGCAAAACTGGCTTTCTGTTTTTAACCTGTTACGTGCTGTTACCTTCATGAACCTTCTGAAACAGCTGCTTGAACCTTCCTCTTGCACTTGAGCATGCTACTGCTTTGGGAAGTAGGTGATGTCCTGCTATCTAAAAATTCATGAATCTATGGGATTTCTGGCACGAGAAATCAGTGTCTCATTTTATTTTAAGAAGGAAACTATTACAGAGTTTATAACCCTTTTCAGTAGCTTGTGCATCATTTCCAATAGACTAGTTATGGTCCCCATGGGATAAAAACTCACTCCAGTCTGGGCAATTTAAGAACATATTTATTCTCTGAATTTATGTAGGCATCAAATTTAATTTGTACTTCTGTAGTTTTTTCTTAGAAATGAAGTAGGAATTCTGAATAGAAAATATATAATTTTCTTTGGCTTCTGCCTACTGTGTCACTCTTTAATCCCTTTTCTCTAGTGAAGTTTGTGCAGTCAGTCTTGTCCCAACTAATGCATGGAGCCATGAAAACAGTGTAGTTAATTGCCACATGCTAACAATTTATTGGCCTGGGATTGGCCTTCAACTGGGAGAATGACATCTGGGGAGCTAGGATGAGAGGACTGTCATCCTTGTCTGTTGGAGTGCCTTGAGAAGGCAATGTTTTGTCTGCTTTCAAACTTGGGAGAAATGACCCAGAGCATGCATATATGTACATACTTAATGCAGTAGAAAAATACGCTAAACATGCCTTCTCTAGGAGCCTTCACTCTGTTGGGCATTGCAAACAAGATCATCGTGGAGATGTCATACTGGGGATGAGTTTGTGATGGGAAGGACTTGAGTTTCCATTGCAGCTGAGAGAGAATGTCGTAGCCTAGATAAAGCAGCCCAAGAGTAAGACTGCCAAAATGATATAGGGAAACAGAAGATTACATTTTCTATGCCATTCTCTGTCTTATGCCTTTCGTTGCATTCATTGCATAAATTTCAGCCAATAATAAGTGGGTTGGAATTTGCCTTTCTTACTCTAGCTTTGAGGATCAATCTCTTCTTGGAATGGGTCTGCTGGTTTCAGGGGTGAACAGTGGAAGATTGAACACCAAAGGGTTGAATTAAATCATGCTGTGTATCAGAATAGAATGTACTCTTTAAATTGAACTAATTATACTGTCTCTTCTTTGCACAGGTGGTGGATGTGGACTTTAAAACAGTGTCTCAACATTTCATCCTCAACTGTCCCTTTTTAATCTGATTGCACTACAAAAGAAAAGCTGCTAATGGGATAAATGTTGAGACGTTACAAGAACTGACTTGAAGTACCAAAAGCCATTATTATTAATCAAGAAGAGCTTGAAGCTAAGTCTGTATCTGACCAGTCAGTATCACTTTCACCTAACAGGCATGGCAAGTAAACGAAAATCAACAACACCGTGCATGGTCTTAGCCAACGAGCAAGATCCGGATCTGGAAATGGTATCAGACTTGGAGGAAGGACCACCTGTAGTCACGCCAGCAGATAATAATCCTACAGCAGAGAGCATAGCAAGTGAAGAGGATGTTCATGAGAGTGTGGATTCAGACAATCAGAAAAGTACAAATAAAGTAGAAGGTGGTTATGAGTGTAAATATTGTACTTTTCAGACTCCAGATCTCAATATGTTTACTTTCCATGTGGATTCAGAACATCCCAATGTAGTATTAAATTCATCCTACGTTTGTGTAGAATGCAATTTTCTTACCAAAAGATACGATGCTCTCTCAGAACATAATTTGAAGTACCACCCTGGAGAGGAGAATTTTAAGTTGACCATGGTGAAACGTAACAATCAGACAATCTTTGAACAAACAGTAAATGATCTCACTTTTGATGGGAGTTTCGTTAGAGAAGAAAACGCTGAACAGGCTGACCCTTCTGAGGCCCCCTCCGCGGGGATCTCCATTAGCAAAACTCCTATTATGAAAATGATGAAAAACAAAACAGAGACTAAACGCATCGCTGTTTTCCACAGTGTGGTCGATGACATTCCTGGTGAAGAGAAGGGAAAGGAAAATGAGCCAAACTCCGAAGAAGCAGCAGAAAACCAACCAGCACCGGCAGTTTCTGAGTCCAAAGCGAGCCATTCGGTTGTTTGCAGTGCAGCCGATGTAGCTAGCACGGTTGTGACCCCAGTGATTCAGCCTGGGGTGGCACAGGTTATAACAGCTGTTACAGCTCCACAGAACTCAAACCTGATCCCCAAAGTCCTGATACCTGTAAACAGCATTCCAACCTATAATACTGCTCTGGACAACAATCCTCTTTTGCTCAACACCTATAACAAATTCCCGTATCCAACCATGTCGGAGATCACCGTTCTTTCCACTCAAGCTAAGTACACAGAGGAACAGATTAAAATCTGGTTTTCTGCCCAACGTCTGAAACATGGTGTGAGCTGGACACCAGAGGAAGTGGAGGAAGCAAGGAGGAAACAATTTAATGGCACAGTGCATACTGTGCCACAGACAATTACCGTTATTCCGGCGCACATTTCCACTGCCAGCAATGGTTTACCTTCAATTTTACAGACATGCCAAATAGTTGGTCAGCCAGGACTTGTTCTCACTCAAGTTGCAGGTGCAAATACGTTACCAGTCACGGCCCCAATAGCTTTGACTGTAGCAGGAGTCCCAAACCAAACCCAGCTACAGAAGAGTCAGATTCACACTGCTCAGCCTATCGCAGAAACCAAACAAGTCGCTGCCGTTCCAGCCCCTCAGCCTATCAAAAATGAAACTGCACTAATGAATCCCGATACCTTTGGCATGCGAGCAAAAAAAACAAAGGAGCAACTGGCAGAATTAAAGGTCAGCTACCTTAAAAATCAGTTTCCTCAGGATTCAGAAATCAGTAGGCTTATGAAAATAACAGGCCTGACGAAGGGAGAGATCAAAAAGTGGTTCAGCGATACACGCTACAATCAGAGAAACTCAAAGAATAACCATGGGATTCATCTCAACAGTGACTCATGTGCCACCATCATTATCGATTCAAGTGACGAAATGAATGAGTCCCCAACAGGAGTTGCTCCACAGAACAAGCCGTCCTGGAGTGCATTTCCTGACTTCACCCCACAGAAGTTCAAAGAGAAGACTGCTGAGCAGTTGCAAGTCCTCCAAGCAAGTTTTCTTAATAATCCTGTCCTTACTGATGAAGAGATGAATAGGTTAAGAGCCCAAACCAAACTTACCAGGAGAGAGATTGATGCCTGGTTTGTGGAAAGAAGGAAATCTAATGTCTTAAAGGAGGAGGGAACTGAGATGAATGAGAGCAATGCCAGCAGCTCGAAAGAAGAAGCTGGAGAAACATCTGCAGGGGATGGAACAGCAGGGTCAAAATCAGGGGGCTCTGCTCCAAGCAAAATAGGCAAAAAATCACCAGAGCAGTTGCACATGCTTAAAAGCTCCTTTGTTCGTACTCAGTGGCCATCTCCACAAGAATACAACAAGCTGGCAGAAGAAACAGGGCTCCCAAGATCAGAAATTGTGAGTTGGTTTGGAGATACTCGCTATGCCTGGAAAAATGGGGGATTGAAGTGGTATTATTATTACCAGAGTGCCAATGCAAACAGTCTGAATGGCCAGGGCTTCTCAAGGAAGAGAGGGAGAGGAAGACCAAAGGGGCGAGGAAGAGGGAGGCCTCGAGGGAGGCCTCGGGGAAGCAAGAGGTTAAATTGCTGGGACCGAGGCGTGTCTGTCATAAAATTCAAAACTGGAACAGCAATCCTGAAGGACTACTATATGAAGCACAAATTCCTTAATGAGCAAGACCTTGATGAACTTGTAGCTAAATCTCACATGGGGTATGAGCAGGTCAGAGAGTGGTTTGCAGAAAGGCAGAGAAGATTAGAACTCGGAATAGAGCTGTTTGAGGAGAATGAGGAGGAAGATGAAATGTTGGAAGATCAGGAAGATGAAGAGGAAACGGATGATAGCGATACTTGGGAACCCCCACGACATGTTAAGCGTAAACTTTCAAAATCAGATTGATGTGCAGTTTGGAACCTGGGAGCCAAAAACCCGTGAATTAGGTTTGATGTTATGGTGAAGAGCCAAACAGTTTTTCACGGCCTTCAGCTTCAGCAAGCACCTGCTTAGCATCTTCGTTGCACCTGAAGGAACGTGGGCAAGATGCTGTCTGCGCAGGCAACAGATATTTGCTTCCTTGCTACCAGAGATGGATGTCCTCGGGCCTAGCTGAGCATGTGGGGTTATAAATCAGCGCCAGTTCAGCTCCTCCTCTTCCACGTGACCAGTGGGAAGGTTCATCATTCACGTGACTGCTTCTCAATATTTAATTGCCTTATCTTGTTTAATTCCAAAAAACAAACCACAGACACATTTTTTTGTTGTTGTAGGAGAACATTACCTGCTCGCAAAGGAGGAAAATGCAAAAACCTAAGATCTCTTTTTGCAAACATCACTTCACCTGAAAGGTTTCAAGGCCTGGGTTTATTTCTTAAGGAAAGAATTCAAAAGAGAAGGGGAAAAGTGTGACAAAGGAATCAATGAACATAGGGGTGAGGATTGCTTGGTTTAAGAAAATGAGGTGATTTTGGCACCTTTTGCGTATCTTCAGAGTGTTTTGGGTTTACAGAACTTGTGTTGAAATGTTTCTTGCTGATAATTACAAGCTAACTGAATGAGTTTACTGCTAGAAAATGCTTTTTGTTAAATTTAATCAGCATATCTTACATCAGTTTAATTTAAATGCCTGGCAGACTTGATGCAGTTGATAGTAACGTTCATTTTTAGCTTGTGCATTCTTTACTTTTTTGGAAAATGGTTAGAAGCTATGTGTATTTCTAACGAACATGAGTAATTTCTTGAAATCTTACACTGTATTTTAAGGTAAATGTGAGGTGGGAACTGCCTAAAAGTCGTTCACCATTGCTTAGGGTTTTGTATGAATACACAGATACAGAGATGAAAAGTGTCTTCAGGTGCTAGCAAGAAAGGTTTTCAAGTATGCGGTGGCAGTGACCTGCTTTTTAATTTTCAAGCAAAATGAAGCTATATGCCTTTTAGGTGCTTAAGAATGAGAAACAAACCAGTGTTCAACTGTTTGTTAATGGTAGCCCAATTGAATGTTTTGCGTGCAAGTTTAACTTAAAATTCATCCTACTGAATTGAGCTCACCGATATAACAGCCCTGTTCTTAGGGCTGTTGGGTGAACACTTATTTGTAGAGATGGTTTCATCTACGTGAACTGAACTTCAAAAGTAGTCTAATCTGATAGGGAACATCTGCATCTTGAGTAAGTGCTTATGTATATATATATAGAATGGCTTTTTATATGTGTATAAAAAGCCATTCAATTTCAAGGTAATGAAATAGTGGCATAACCAACTTAAAAATAATGGGCCAAATTCATGAAAGCTAGGCTATGCAGATATCTGACATCATAGAAAACTGGTACTCCAAGAAGAGTAGTTTGTGTTCTGGCTTCTGTCAGTCTGTATTTTTTAGGGGTGAGTTATATTTAGACATCAAAAATGGATGATGAGTTGGTGCTGCTGTCACCAGCATTGTCTGCTTTACATGGGCACTAACAGGAACTATCCTAGTAGCTCCCTTTACACCTCCGCCAACATCTTCTCTGCAGGCATTTGCATCTATTGACCTACAAGAGAGATTAGCGTGGAGAAAATGTTCCCTAATACTTCTACATCTCCAAGAAATACTCTTTCTTCCTTACTGTGATAACTGACTGTCCAGAGTCCAAGGAAATGCTTTCAGTGATGATTTTCCAAAGCAGAGGAGTTCATGTTAGATCTGTTTTTCATGTCAGATTGTGAGTGAAACCTGGGTGAAAAAAAGAAAGGGGATAATGTCTGACCAAAAAAAAAAAACAAAAAAAGAAGTGTTGTTAACTTACCTGACTCACCTTCCTCCCTGCACACGTGTAGCTACCTTTCTGCTCTCTGATTGAATGGGCTGCCTGAATTGCAAGATGATGTTCCGCTTAAAAGCCTTTTTCTGACCTTCTGAGATTGCTAGAAATACTGATGTGTGTGACACAGTTTTGGTTATCAAACTGTTTCCTGGCATCCAAGACTCAGGTCAGTGAAACCAAGGCACAAAGCAGCCAACAGTGTGATGCCTTTATCTCTTGATGCTTATCACTGTGAGGACAAGCCTAGAATCCCTCAGCTTGACTTTGGGGTGGGAGAGAAGCAGAGCTTTGTTGGCAGTGTTTCTCTGGAGTGCTGTGACTTTGGGTGCAAGGTGGTGTAAGAGAGATCAGGATCTGGGTTTCCAGCATGAATTGCTACAGTGACAAGGAAGTAGAGAAAGAGATGCTGTTTTTAAATTTATGAAAAAATTAAGGCTAATCTTTAAACTGCTTGGGAATATGCTTTTAGCAACCAAAATCTGGAATTGCCTTAAATCTTAAGGACAAGCCAGAATTAATTTTCTTTCCCCCCCAAAAAGACCCAAGAAACCTGTCTAAACATCCCCATTTTTGTTAGCAGAGACTTAATGTAGGTTATCACTGCATTGAACCTTCTTTAGAAGATGGGAAAAATAAGGATCCAAGTTAATTATATGATTAAACTGGGAAATTTTCCATTTTGGCAGTGTTCTGTTAAATAACACTCAATTATAATGGTAGGCCTTAGTACATCTGATCTCAAAAACACAGGAAAAGGAAATGCATTGTTTATCAGACTAAATATAGTTGGATTGGGTATCTTCTTTCCATAAAATGGTCAGAGGGGATGGCTGATGTATCTGGATTTTCAAACACTGTAAACATTACAGTTCTTTGTATTCCAGTGGTTTTAACAGTATTTGCAGCCCATTGAGACCCCATTTCAGAATGCAGATCTGAATTAAACAAGCTCTGGGTTGGATAATGAGAGATGCAGGGTACCCACATTTCCTCTAGGCTAGATGCACATTATAAGTCTTTCAATTATGCCAAGGGTGAGAAGAATCTGTGTGAGTTCAGATCTGAAAACATCAGTTGTATGCACTTATTATTACTTATAATCTGTTTTGTTTTAAAAGAAGAATCCATTAATTACCAGTTTATTTCATGTTTACAGCATGTATGTATTTGCACTGTGTACTGTGGGAGAGAGGGAGACACCTTCCAGAGGCCTCCTGCATCAGAAATGACAAGAAAAGCACTGGAAAGAGCTGTCAGCGTGCTGGTGGCTGACAGGACGGACTGCTTTGTCTGTAACTTGTGGTCGTGGCTGGTTGGAGTTCAAAACTGCTGGTGACTGTGGTTAGTCCAGATTCATCTCATCTCATGTTAGGCTGCTGTGCTCCTTACCATGGTGCCCAAGGCATACTGCATAGTCTGAGAGAAATAGAAATTGTCGAGGGGATACAGCACATCTTCATTCTCCCCCTGAATTGACGAGAGCATCAGTTCCTCTGGAGCGAAAGTTGAGCTTTCTCTTTCATCTGCTGTCTCTGCCAAGAGTACCTGATGTTACGATGCTAGTCAATGCTGTCTTTGAAATAAAGTTAACTGAGGATGAAGGTAATCCTTTGCTAGAGTCGAGAGGGAGAAGGGCTAAAAGCAAGCAAGCAGTATCACAGCTGGTGAGCCATCCACTGTCCTTGGCCACGGTGCTTCATAGCATGTTCTGCTCTTGCTTCTGAGTACAATGGAAAGCACAGTTCTGTCTAAGTAATGCTGGCTTCCCAGTGACACCCTCTTAATAACCCCAAGATTGTTGTGAGTTATAAAAAGAAAGTCAGAGTTACTCTCCCTTGCTTTGAATGAACTAAGGGAGTGCTTGTGTGGTGTGCAAAGAAGGGAAAATGCAGAATCTTGAAGAGACTGCCTGTTGCTTGCCCTGCAGAATTCACTTACCTAGAACTTGCTGAGCAAAACAAATGTCACTCTTGCTGTTTTGACAGAACAAGTGTTGCAGTCTTTCGTGTTTAGCAAGTAGAAATTTCTGCTTTGATTTGAAAGCAAAAGAAAGATATCTGGCACCTCATGATTAGAATTTACTGGATTATCTCTAATACACCTTAGTAAATTAGGCCATTTGATTTTTCAGCTTTGTCCAATAATGATTTTAAAACTTTTTTTTTTTTTCTTTTTTCCACAGCATTATATGCAGTATTGTTTCTGTCTGTAACTTTGAAGGAAACTCATGCAGAATCCACACATGGCATGAAATGTTTTTTCTCATGCATGACTTCCTGACTTTGGGCAAAAGCCTGTTTTCTTCCTGCTCACCACGGCAGGCAAATACACTCCCTTCTCCTCCTCAGAGCAGAAAAAGGACTTTTGAAGCCCATGCAAAGTGATTCACAGCGCGATGCAGTCCCAAAGGCCAGAAAGCCCCAGCATGCAGACATTCTCCTCCTCCTTCTCTATTTTCCTCTGAAATGAGAGCACAGCAGTAACTCTGACAACTGGTCTCTGGCTGCTGAGTAATAAGCTGTAGTTTAAGGTCAGGAGTATTTTCCCTTTTGCACTTAATGGAGTACTGTGTATTCGAATTGGATCTCAGTGTTTGCTTTTGTAGATACGACGGTCCCAATTTGCATCCTCCACCACCTCCTCCTCTCTGTATATTCATATCTCCCAAGGAGAGAAGATAATTGTTAAGATTCTGTAATGTTAAATATCCCTGCCCTTACCTGAATACACACAAATGTAGAGCGCAATGAAATATAGTTGCTTTCTTTAATTTATTATTTATTGGAAGATAATTTTGCCTGCATTTAGTAATGAAAATATAGTATTGATGAAAGAACAGTAAAACAGTTGAGAGGTGTTCACAGTGCCTGTGATGATCATATAAATTCCGGATGGGAAGGGCAAGTGCAGGGCTCTGTTCCCTGCCCTGAGCAGTGCTGCATTATGCCTGTGTTCTCCACCAGGCTTTTGATATCCTAGGGCTGAGCAGATGTGGTATGTGGCATGACACAAACTTGTTGGGTCAAGTGACTTAAGGTTTGTGATGTATTAAAACTAGGTAGGAAATGAAAGCTGTAGCAGAAGGCGAACATTTCTATAACTGTACGTGCTCAGTAGCTTGAATTTGTGTATTATTATCTCACTTTTGAAAAGGGAGGTTTTGAAGCACAGGCAGTTTGTAGACAATATTTTCGAGCTTTTGGGTTTTTTCCTTCTACAGTGAAGAGCATCTGCATTTTTTTCAGTGGCTACTCATTTAAGAATGACTTAATGCAGCATTTAAAATGTGGAATGGTAACTGTGGATCCCACGGCACTTTTCATGAATTAAGGTGGGATTCACCTGATTGTATGTCAATGTCTGCACGTGAGCAAGGCACCGCAGCAGCTGATGGGTATAGCTAACGAGTGCATGTCAGCAGCTCATCCTGACTGCCTACAATCGATCAGACGAGCTGCACCCTAAACTCCACTGACTGTTACAAGTGGCTGGCAGACACTGGAGCCATCTGAAGTTAGGTGAGATGCAGCCTCACCTTGGAGCGTGCTGGCTGGCTGGCAGCACTGGGCGTTGTGCCCCGTTAGGCTCTCCTTGTGGTTAGCCGTGGTTCTGTCCTCCGCTGCCCACCTGGTGCATGTTGGGAGGTGTGAGGCCTTGCTTTGGTTTTGGTTGTTATTCTAGAGCAGGCAGCACTGCAGTGGTGGATAAAGAAACTGATCCTTGGTTGAAGAACTGTGGCGTAAACATGGCTTGGGGGTTTCTAAAGTTTTTGAGAACCTTACTATATGAACATCGGATTGTGCATATCTTAAAATGTGGTAAGACAAGTAAGGCTTGTGTCCCCACTGATCAAAGCATTTCCTTACACTTAGTCAGTATTAGATATCTATAATGAAACTTACTGTAAAGAATCTGCCAGAATGACGGAAGATTCGAGTTGTCTTCATTTGTGATACAAAACAACCAACCACAAGAGCTCCACTGCGGTTTGGAAATGTTCCCCATGCTTCCAGTTCCAGCTTACAGAAGCATTTCCAATTCTGCTTAGTTGGTTATCTGCATGTATGCTTACAGTTTGTACAGAAATGCACTAAAAATGAGTTGCCCGACCCGGGAAGGCTTTATATTGTATAGAAAATGTGGCACTAGGTACTGCTCTTCATGTGCACAGGAGAGTTAACAGGTGTCGATCTCGTTTACAGAAATGATGGAGCTTTGCAATTTTCTATAATACATTGCAATATATTTAAATGTCCTGTTTGACATGTGAATTGAAATTAAGTTAATGCATCGTTATGTATTTGAATATGAGGAAGACGATTCACTAACGACCAGCAAGGTTTTTAGAAGGTGTCCAGTATGTAGCAGTCTGTGTGATCTGTCTGGTGTATGTGATGTTGTTAAAGGAAGCAACACTACTAGTATCGTTTAGAATTAAGAGCTTCTTACGAGTGATGCAATAGCTTACAGTGTCTTTCCTTTGTAGCTGCCCAATGTGGTGAAGGGGAAGCAGTTGTTGAAAAAGTTCAAGATAACTGGTTAACTGTGAATGGGCCTAATCTTTCGTGAAACCAAGAAAATATTTGGACACACACAGGACTTGAATACTCAAAAGGATTGGAACTTAGTGTTGTGCCAAAGTTAAACTACTGCAGTTGGCAGAAGTTCTGCACTGTAAATAGAAGACTGATTAAAAGACAGCTTGTAAAAAAGAAAAAAAGATCAAATTTTAATACGCTACGTTTTTATTCTGATACATGACGGAAACATTCTGTTTTAGACCTTTTTTGAAGAGGCTTCAGTGACCACTAGATTTTGTCCTCTTATATTTTGTTTGGCCTAATACTATATGTTCTAGTAAGATGGGCTTCACTGCCTGTGTTCTTTGATACGTGATTAAGCTTATAGCTTTGAGTGACCAAACATTTTACAGAGTAAAAGTTCTTAGAAACACTATAACGTAACTGATATTTCTGTGTCTTATTTATCAGGCTCTGCACAAACTTGGGAAGTTGTGCTGGACTTGTACAACTTACATGTGGGAACGCAGCACACTGCTTGGTATTACAAAGCTAAGCCTTTGAGGCAGTACGGATCTTGTCTTTGGATTTATTTTTGTTATTTTTTGAGGCAATGAGATGAACGGATGCTGCTGTAAAATATTTGTAATATTGCCATTATTGCTTTCTGTAGCAACTACTGCTTTTGTTTCAACAGATAAAGAAAATAAGTCAGAGATAGAAAAATCCCAAAAGAAGCCGGTAGAAGAAAGGATCACGTGGGAACTTCTGAAAATAAACTTTGTACCAAAAAATTTGAAAACAGAAATAATGGAATAAATGTCTCCTTACTGACTGTGTGCTTTTTAAAAAGGACGTGCAGAAACCGGCAGCCGCGTTCGCATGAAAATGTCAACATCTTCTTGAGGTGTCTTTTTTCCCATCCACAAAGCTGAGTGTCAGCGATGCCTCAGGTGCGTTAGGTTTGGAGACGCGTCCTGGCTGAGGAGCCGGCACGAAGCAGCCTCACGTGAGTCAGTACAGCAGGGTGGTGCTGCCTCTTCTGCCCCATCAGCAGGCCAGGGCTGCGTGCAGCGTTCTGCTCTGCGCTCACATTGAAAGTACCTGGTGTTGGAGGAGCAGGGGCGAGCAGCAATCACTTCACTTCCCTGCTGGAGTCCTTGTCGGTTGGATGTCACGCTTGGTGACTTCAGGGCTGCTGTAAAATGTGTGTTTTCCTCCGAGGGGACCGGGTCTGAGCACGTTCTGTTGAATGCTGCATCCCGGCAGGGCGAGTCACTGCAGCGCCGCCTTCCCTCAGCGGACGCACTGCCCCACTGTGTGGTGCCCTTCTCGAGGCCCGGCTGGAGAGGAGCTGGCACCCTGCCCTCAGCTCAATCCCTGCGTGAGAATAAGCTGAAGTCCACAGAACTGTTCCCGTGCTGTGGTGTGGGCCAGTCCCGACAAATGACAGCCGTGGCTGAAGCGGTGACCTGTGCGCAGGGCTGGAGGCGAGCGCTCGCCGTTGGGACAGCTTGGTGCTGGGCCAAACGGTTTACTCAGTTCAGTGAAAAAATCAGGAGGGAAAATAAAGAATGTTTGTTCTAGATTCCACAGCTAAAGAGAGAGTTATGAAAAGCTTTGGGCTGTGTTTCTTTAAACAGTTACCTTTTTGTTTACCGTGTTGTCAATGACTCCAAAACACTGCAGCTCAGTCCCTATTTTGACTGGAGACCAGCTGGCCCTCTGGCTTGTTTCTCCTCTCCCAGCCTTCTCTTCCCAGCCCCTTCCATCTTCCAGTTGTTCTCATAACAATACTGTCAACTGCTATTTTTAATAATTTGAATACCACTTTGTGCAATGCTTTGCTTTTCTCTCTGCACCAGAAAGTCCCTTCTGGAGAGACGTTAAGTTGCTTCCTGTGGAGTTTGCTTTGCTTTGAAACGCTGCTGCTGGTGGTCTTCAGGCTGCTTGACTGTTTTCCAACATTTTTGGTTGTTAAACAACTTGTTGCACTTCAAATATGCATATTTCTACTGCAGTAATGTTGGACTGTTAGCATTGTGGCTGTTTCAGTCTCAGATAATATCTATTTGGTAGAAGAAAAAAAAAGACAGGAAAAGGGAGATACATTGGTTGGCTTATCCGGATGATTTGGGTGAAGATCAAGGTTGGTGTTGGTAGTAATTCACTGAGTGATTTCTTATTTCCCTAAATGAAAATCAAACAGGAGAAAACATAATTGCAGCAAAGTCCATCATAAGGGACTAACGTGGAAGAAGCCCCACAAAATAACCTCTAGTAGTGGCACGCTCTGAATCAAAAGAGACGATGCAAATATTAATGCAGTTGTTAACTGCTTGCAAACCTTCAGTTCCTCGCCAGCATTGCCCAATGCCTCCAGGTGAAATCCATCTGCCAGGATTTCTGTGCAGGCATTGCCCCCAGCACACACACAGCACAGGGACTGGGGCTCACTGACGCCCTGTGAGGGAAATGCCTGAGCATTTTTCTTACAACACCACAAAGGCAGAAACTGCACCACAGGTATAAGTTGTGTGGTGTTCATTTCACTTCCAATGATTTAAGGAAGGATGTAATGGTGGGCAAAGTCCATTCTCAATTTCTGCATTTTGTTTGCATGTGTGCATTTAGCAGTGCTTTCCCTCTGCTTTACCTCGTGCTTTCTGCAGGCATAGATACTTGGACAAGGCAAGCGTGAAGCCATATGAGCTAAATTTAATAGCAGTTTCCACTTGGTGCTTTCCAGCTCAGCATGGGAAACAAGGCACTGGAGAATCAAAAAAAGCCAGATGGGTTACTTCCATGTGGAGGCAGTTACCTCTCCATATGGACAAGGAGACGGGGACTGGAGAAGCCCACAAGTCACTCAAGGGCAATCCTGAAGCCCTGGATCTGTGTCTTTGATGTGCCTGTTTTTTTCTTTATCTTTTTTTGCGTCTAATTCTATTGATTTGTTTCTCAGTCGCTGCAGAACAATATTGTAGGGTGTCAGCTTAGTTTAATAGGTGCTATACAACAGAGGTGTGCAGCAGCCAGATGCAGATGCTCCAGTGATGTCCTGGAGGAGATGCTACAGGAGTCCTCCCAGTCCCAAGGACCTCGTAGCTGTGAAGTTTTAACACAGCCTGATTTAATCCCTAGTAGCAATTAAGCAACAAGCACAACTGTTGCCATGTTGCCAGGGGAAGTTAATGAGTTTTCAGAGGCAAACCAATAAAACTGAAAAAAAAAAAGGTGCACAGAAGGAGGCATACACATCTCTCTGCAAGTCTGGGGTTTGGTCCAGTTAGAGCAGCAGGTCAGCGATGCCTTTGTGGTGGTTTGTGTGTCAAGTTTGTATCCGCTGATTGTCAGGTCCAGCCTTAATGCTTGCCACAGATGGCTGAGCAGCATCCTTGTGGCTCCTGTCAGTTCAGGAAGCGTGTGGAGCTGCAAGGGAGGATCACTGCTTCAAGACTGTCCCAGGCATCTAACCACCTTTCTTTCCAAAAATTCCTCTATTCAGCAGCATTCCTGTCCAACCCAAGGGCGTGCTCGTTCTGCTCAGCATTCATCTTACAAGGCATGAAATGGTTGCAGAGCCCATTAATGGCCGAACACATCAGTGCTTAGCGCACCCTTTTGGCAGTAACAACTTCATTGGGTTTTGTGAGACCTGAGGGGGAAGGATTATGGCCTAGTTAATATGGCTTACCAGCAGTCTGAAAGGCTGCGCTGTTGGAAGGTAGATAAGCAAATGAACTGTCTTTGGGGGATGCATCCTCTCTTATCTGTCTTAAGATAATGGAGATCTTCTGGCTTCTGTTACCAAGCAGTTCTTTTTTTTTCTTATTTCTGTGATGCACAGCCCTTCATCTCCCCATTCATTTTGGTCCTGTCTTCATGGAACTGTGAGCTGGCTGGCTGATTTACACAGAAGAGGAATTCCATGGCCCACTGGCCTGCACACTCCTGCTCACACTACTCTGGTTTCAGTATCCTGTCCTCCTGTTGCAGACAGTGAGGGTAGGGTGTTGGAGCAGTTTGTAGGGTGAGGAACCATTTCAGCTCCCTTACTTGCCTTTCCTTAGTGCTCGCTTTACCTTCAAGGACAGACCTACACTTAGCAAATGAAGCTTTGTCACATTTGGCTGGTTTCTCAACCAGCTTGAGGTAGATGGAGGTTCATCCTGTTTCTACCAGCCCTTCTTTGAAGATATGCTGAGTTTGAGACAAGTATCATTTTGCTCTAATTTTGGTTGGTGGCATCTGGGAGCTTAGGCTCAGGGGTCAGACTTTCACCACTCTCAGTGTGACCGCCTATTGCTTGAGAACAGACTGCTCTTGAGGTCTGCAGTTGTGTCTCATACTACTGTAGTAACATTTGCTAGTGTTCATCAAAGCTCACCAGAGCTTTAACTGCAGTTTTGCTTGTTGAATCACTTTTTCTTGTCTCTTAGTTTGTACCAGAGATAGCCTTGGTATGCCCTTAGCCGTGAAATGCTGTTTGTGTTACCCTCCTGTGCCAGTCATGGACAATATCCCCTTATGTTTGGCACCACGCAAAGAGGATGAAAGATGGTTTCTGCTGTAGAGATCTTGCAATCTCAATAAAAGGCAAGAGACAATAAGTGCGGGGAGAAAAGGACACATCAAGACAATGTCAGCAAATAAAGAGCTTCTCTTCATGAACGTGTTTAGAGAAGAGCCAATGTTATGACTGTCGAAAAATAAAACTAATCTTTCCCCCAAGGTATGAATATTTCACAATGTCTGGAAGATCCCACTTGATGACTCAGGAACCACCCATCCTTTGAGGAACGCTGCCTGTGGGCCTGAGTGCTCTCTTCACTGCAGGCAGCACGCTTTCTTTGAGGAGACAATGAGTCCCTTGCTTCCTTCCAGGGGCAGCTCCTTTCCAGTCTGCTTTATTAAAACTATAAACGATGTCAGAGCTGCATTATTCCTTAGCCGACGTGTGTGGGTAGTGCCTACCAAAACAGGGCCCTCATTACCAGCCAGGATTTCTCCTTTCCACTGTGTGTGCTTGATGGTCTCTTGAAACCTCTGTGGTGTGTGTTCTCCTCCTGGAACAAGTGTCCAGGCTGTGGCAAAGACCCATAGAGCCTATCACAATACAAGAAATAATATCAGGAATTAAATAAGCACCAGTGGAGGGAATTCTTTTGAATTAATTCTGCCTCTGACAGGGCTAAAGAAAGGTTGTTAGGATTCAAACAAGCTCTGTCTGCCACGCTGTGTTTTCTTTTCCTGGCTGAAAGGCTCAGGTCCTACGGCAGCAGAATGAATTCCTGCCTGTCCTTTGAGATGCCTTTACTGTCCAGGCTTCCTCTGGGCTCACCCTGATGGCAATGTGGAACACATAGGCTTGCCTCCTTGGTTCCATCGGTGTGATTTTCATACGGGGAACTGGTGCTTTAGGCTAGCAGTGCAGCATGACCTTAGCTGTCTGTAGGAATATTCATCTCTGGCTTCTTTGTATCCGTGAAGCTGCCTACACACAGCAGCTGCAGCAGTGTGGGCTCCCATAGGGCTCATGTGTCTGCAAGCCCCTCAAAGCTGTTTCTTCCAGGGCTGTTGGTTTCTGCTGCATGAAGAGAAGGCTAACAGCACCATGGCAAATCATGCCTCGCAAGCTCAGGCAAACAGCTTTACTTAAGTAAAATGGGAATTTGTATTCTGGCAGCTATACTGATGACTTGGGGCTTGTAGGAGAAATTGAGCAAATCTCCAGTGCTGACAAGGCAGAGGAATTTCTAACAGTTGCACTTTTTTATATCTGTAACTAATACGCGAGGAGCCTTGTAAATGTCTGAGGGGAGGTGGGGGAAGGGGAGAGCCAGGGAAGGAAGAAAGAAGAAAAGCAGTGTTATGCTGTGACTTATGACTCAAACCATGCAGTCAGCTGCTAGGCCCCCTGCGTGGTGCTCAGGAATTGCTTCTCTCCTATCATTGATTCACCAGACAAAGGCATTTTCTGCATTGCAACACACAGCCTTTGCAGACCACGTTGGTATCCTCACAGGCAATGGTGGCTGAAACCCTGAGCCCTGCAGGACTCCTCAATCCGAGCTGGCAGCCAACGGGCTGCTCTTGGATTTGCCCCTGGGAGCGCCTTGCAGTTTGTGTTCTACTTTGTGCTGGGGCCGCATTTCACTTTGATTACTCATGATTCTTGTTCTGTTTTTCTTCTTTTCCATTTGTTCCTAGCCGTCTTGCTGGATTTTAGTGCTGTACTCAGACTGGTGTGCTGCAGCATGACTGGCAGTCCTGGAGGACTGGGAAAGCAGCGTGTGTGTCCGGTTAATGCGAGGAGAAGCGCAGATGCTGCAACTGTTCAGACACCAGAGCTGATGACTGCAGATCCATTTCTGTGTGCTCTGCCTGTCCTGTAGGAGCTCAGCATACCAGTCCATGTGCAGAGGGAAGCTGGAAGGCTTTTGTGTGCACATATAAGAAGCCCCAGCTGTACTTGCCTACCCTGACATAACAAAACAATCAAAAGCATCATGTGGAGCAAACTCCTGTTTTTCTCAAGACTCACCTGTTAAGCAATTTCCTATGTTCAAGAGCTCTTCTTTGCCAAATGGTCAGTTTAAAAGCAGAAGAAACCTCAATTTGATCAAATCTACCTGCCAGAGTATAGTTTGTATCCAGGGATTTATGCAAGCTTATCATAGACTAGTGGAATCATTAAGGTTGGAAAAGACCATTAAGATCACCTACTCCAACTGGTTAGCCCATCACCACTGTGCCCACTAAACCATGTCCCTAATGTCCTGATGCTACATCCAGGCATAGCTATGCTTGTATGGAAGATATTTTGAGCATTTATCCACCACCACCACCAAACTAAAACCAAACATCTCTATAGAAGGAACCCTTTCAAATATTCCAAACAAGAACTATGGCCATAAAGGATGTTCTAGTAGGCACAGGTTCATCAGTCTACTTTTTGGATTGAGGAGATACAAGGATAACTTTTCATCTCAGCCTCTCTGAACCTGTATGGTAGTCAGATGGGAGGCAGCAGGTCTTCCTGGTGGAAAGGACTGCTGGGGCAGGGAGAGGAAATAGAACTGCAGTACGCCTAAAACACAAAGCACCTTGTGTCTGGCAGTGCCATGAGGCAGGACAGACAGCTGGAATGGCAAGGTGCTATTAATCTGCAAGGTTGTCTGAGCCTTTAAGTGTTGCAGAAGCTCTAGGATGGGTCTTTGCTGTGTAGCCTTTTCCCATAACACAGCAATGCAGTCTTGGGAGATTTGGAAAATCCTGTCTTCTGAAAGCTTGAGATTTCACAAGTTTCCCATTCTGCTTTGGGGAAGAAATGAAATCAAATGGAGAAGTTACTGAAATACACTCCCATGGACACTGGCATGCACAGTGGACCAAGATGCTAAAAGAATAATTCCTCAAATGTGCAAATCATTTAAGCATGGGAAACTTCGGTTTAAGTGTTTGTTACAGTATCTTATGAAGTTTCCATTAAGTTGTCTGTGACCAAAATGTTCACTAGGACTATGGAGAATGCAATGTTCCTGTTCCAAAGGGGAGTACAAGCTTCATTCTCTTAGCACCTTCCTCCCAAAAAACACTTCACAGATGCCAGCAACCAGGTGCCATCAGCTGTCCCAAAACATGGGATCCCTTTGCTCTCATTTTGGTCAGAAAAAATGAAGTTGGTTGGAGAATGACTGGAGAGCCACAGGCAAAGGGTTGTGATAAATGCTCTATGTCCAGGTGGAGGCCAGTAACAAGAGGTGCTTCCCAGGGGTCTGTCCTGGTACCAGTACTCTTCAACATCTTTATCAAAGATAGATGATGGGATCAAGTGCACCCTCAGCAAGTTTGCAGACGACACCAAGCTGAGAGCAGTTGATACAACGTCTGGAAGGGTTGCCATCCAGAGTGACCTGGACAGGCTTGAATAGTGGGCCTGTGTGAACATAATGAGGTTCAACAAGGCCAAGAGCAAGGTTGCACTTAGCTCAGGGCAATTCCAGATTTGTACGCAGACTGGGGGTTGAACTCGCTGAGAGCAGCCCTGCTGAGAAAGATTTGGGAATCTGGTGGATGGGAAGCTGGACATGAGCCAGCAGTGTACACCTGCAGTGGACAGTTGAGAGCATCCTGGGCTGCAACAACAGAGGGCTGGAAGCAGAGAGAAGGAAGTGATTGTCCTGTTCAGCCTCATGAGTACTGGAATACTGCATCCAGGCTGCATCCCCCACCACAAGAGAGATGCAGAGTTGTTGAAATAGAGGAGGGCTGTGAAAATCAGAGGGCTGACGCAGTTCTACAGCGTAAGGCTGAGGGAGCTGGGCTTGTAAAGAAGACTCCAGAGAGACCTTTTTGTGGCTTTCCAATATTTAAAGGGAGCTTATGATCAGGAGGGAAGTCGGCCTTGTATACGGGTCCACAGTGACAGAACAAGGGGGAATGGTTTTAAACTAAAAGAGTAGAGATTGAGATTAGGGGGAAGACTTCTACTGAGAGGGCGGTGAGGCGCTGGCATAGCTGCACAGGGAGCTGTGTTGCCCCGTCCCTGGAGGCTCTCAGGGCCAGGCTGTACGGCCCCAGGCACCTGATCTGGTGGGGGGCAGCCCTGCCCATGGTGGAGGGTTGAGAACGGGGGATCTCTGCAGTCCAACCCACGCCGTTTTATGATTCTGTGATGGTAAGACCCCCAGTGCCACACAGCATTTCTGAGTGATGACACTCTCGCAAGGTCTATTCCTGCACGACCACCTCTGATCGTCCTCACGTTGACTGGGGCTCCCCCTGCCTCCTGCGGGACGGCGATACCCCGTTACACACGGGACAAACCCCATCGCTGAGGAGCCGGCACATAAGAGGCGCAGCCCGAGCTCTATGGCGACATCCCCGCACCGCGGCGTCTACGGGGCGGCGCTACCAAGGCCAAAGCGGCGCGTCTCTCGCCCACCCCGCCACGCCTCAGCGCGTCGCATCGCCTTCCCAAGATGGCCGCCGCCGCCCCTCTAGCCCACCGCACCCCCAACTCGTTGACCCCGCGGCCGCGCCGCCCGCTACTCTCGAGCCGCTCCCTCACGGCGCCTTCCGGCCCGGCAGGGGGCGCGCTGCCGGCTCGAGGCCGGCGGAGAGCCGCTCTAGGAGGGGATGGAGCTGCCGCTGGGCTGGGAGTTCGAGGAGGCCGTGTTCTCCCAGAGCAGGGAGCGGGGCGCGGGCGGCGGGGCCGGGCTGCCCTACAGCGCCAAGCGCTGCGAGCCCCGGGTGAGGAGCGGGGGCGGGGTGGGGCGGGAGGCCGGGGCCGCGGGGTCGGGGCCGAGAGAGCTCGTGGGAGCGACTCGGCATGCGGCAGCCGTGGGGTTGCAGATGCTCTGTACGGGGGGGTTGTTTGTGCTGCAGTGGTTCTGCGGTGAGACGAGCGGCGAGGAGGACGCCGAAGTACTGACGGCCCAGAAGTTCCGGGCTGACCTGGCCTACAGAGAACGGGAGTTTGAGGTATTCTCGTGGCTCCTGTGCGCCGGGGCTTTGGTCAGCGGCCGTGGCTGGAGTGTAACTTCAGGGCCTGTAGTCCTCGTGTGTTTAGTGAATGTATCTGTGTCTGAACAACCATAGAATATCCCGAGCTGGGACCCAGCGGGCATCGAGTCAACTCCTGGCTCCATCCCTGCAGTCCCCAAACTCTGTGTCTGAGCGCTCCCTGGACCCCAGCAGCTCAGGGCCGTGCCCACCCGTTCCGTGCCCACCGCCCCCTGGTGCAGACCCCATCCCTGACCCCCACCCGCCCCTCCCCTGCACAGCTCCATGCCGTTCCCTCAGCCCTGTCGCTGTCACACAGAGCAGAGCTCAGCGCTGCCCTCCGCTCCCTGTGAGGAGCTGCAGCCGCCATCAGGCCTCCCATCAGCTCCTCTGCTCTGCGCTGAGCGCACACAGGGACCTCAGCCCCTACCTCACATATCTTGTCCACCAGACCCTTCGCCATCTTCATAGTGCTCCTCTGGATGCTCCATGCCCTGGAGATGCTAGGTCCTGTGGTATAGAAGTCCAACTTGATGGCACTTTGCATCAAAACCACCCCATTCACCTGAATGAAACCATGATCTGAGCAGGAATCACCGAGCTAGTTAAGATGTGTCCAGACTGTAACAGTTAACTTCGTTTTGGCAAGCTTTCCTAGCTGGATGTCATCTCCTTCCCCCATTGTCATTGTGAAGCTGATACAAACTGCGCAGCTCAGCAGAAATGGTGTTTTTCACTTGGAACCAATTCATACCAAAGATATACATCAGAGTGGTTCAGTAGTGGTCACAGTTGCTGTTGGCAGTCATTAAAATGCTGTTCAGCCATAGTTCAGTGTGCATATTTATCCACTCGTGGAGATAGTGCCGTGTTCCACCAGGGCTGTCAACATCACATTCGCCTTTCTCAGAGCTCCCCCTGGCTGTCAGGTTACAGCTGGCTGCAGTTGTCAGTCTCCTGAGAGTTGGCTTGTGCGTCATTAGCTGTCCTCCCCCTCTCTTGTCTCTGGGTGGCTGGTTATGCTTTTGAGATGCTTCCATGTTTCCCATTTGGGTTTCTGCCTGCTGCACTCCTAGACCCTCTTCTCATGCTGCTTCCTTAGCTTCATTGCTAATCACTGATGATATCTTGCCTCTACCGTCCTGGTTCTAGGACCCTGTCTTTTGTTCTCCCAGATTTGTTTTCTGGTGACAATCAGCTTCTTCTGTCCATGTTTCCGCTCTCATAGCTTCTTGTTCCAGGCTATGGTTTGCATTGCACGCTCTCTGATATCAAAGCCACCAGGACAGCATCTGACTGCACTCTTCTTGCCCTATCCGTTGGATTACTGGATCTGGTTTCGATTCGGCTTTTTAACATTATTCCCGTGTTGTTGTCATCTTGTCTGTTCCTGACAGACATTTTCCAGTCTCAAATGAACGATGCTCTGAAGGAATTCACAGAAGTGTGCAGAGAGAGAAGTACCTGAGGCTGCATCAGGCACCCTGCTCTGGCTGCTGACCTGCCTGAAGGGAGGTTTGCTCCCTGCCATGCGCTCTGATTCCCTTCCCTGAGAAACTGACACAGAGAACAGAGCGTCCATTGGCTTCTGTCATGCTGATTCATGTTGGCAGTGTCTGGCGTCAAGTGTTCTTGGGTCTCTATGGCAGAGCCAGAACCAGGGGGGAGAGTGACAGATTTGAGAATGCTGCCTTAGATCAGTGCCTGGAGATAAGGAAACGGGAATCTCTTCACTCACTGTGAAAAGTTTTGATGCCAACCTAAGCTACTGGATGGGAAATGCCAAGGAGAGCAGTGATCTAAGCCATGCTCATTTTTAGGACAGAGCTGACTGCAGAATCTGCTTGGGATTTATAATGCCGAGTCTGCCAGCGTCCTACTCCTTCATTGCATAGCAGAGCAAGCAGAGTGTCCTGCAGCCCTTCTCTGGTCTGTCTGGACAGAGGGGAACTCTCACTTTGCTTGAGAAGGATGTGAGCTTGGCAGGGGAAGAGACATACTTCTGCCATTATGCCAGGAGCTACTTAGGGTATATTGCCTGGAGGCTCTTTTTGTTAGAACTGATCAAGTTTGCAAGGAATACCTGAATTTTCATTTTGAGAAAGCTCTGCTCTTTGGTCTTTTGGTTTGAGCTCTCACACAGTGGGGAAGGAACGAATATTCCAGTCTTAGCATCACTGAATACTTAATGTAATGTATTTAAATGTTAATTGGAGTCTTGGTGAGTGCTCTGAGCATTAAGATACAGCATATTGCTCATTCTTGTCTTTTTCCTGGGGCCAATTAATATTTAATAATTTCATGCAAATTCCAATGACCTTGTGAGGAATTTATGTCAGGAATGATGGAGACTCACTTTCCTTGTGGTCTGCTCCGACTGGCTGCTTATTCTGATGGGCTGAGGGACAGACTTCCTGGTTCTCACCTCCTGTTTCTCTCACAAGGGAGTGCACAGGTTTGAAGTGAGGCCTCTCAAAATCAGGACGAGTGCTCTGATCCCTGAGTTAGTTGGGATAAAGGTGCCTTATTTCACATTTGGCCCAGGCCTGGGGGTGAGCTCATACAGTCCCTTCTGCATCAGGCATTGTGTGGGGGAGAGGTGGAGAGATGCCCTGTGAATCCTTACAGGGCTGAGGCATTAATTAGGACTGGGGCTGCCCATTGCTGTCCAGGCTGGGGCAGCTTGGAGCTCAGCTCTTGGCCTGGCCATGTGGTACTGGGGCCTTTGTGTGCTGCTGCCAATAGGTGCTGGCTGAGTTGGGATAAAGAAAAATCGGTTTGGGGATTGCTTTTAAATGAAAATCTCTCGTGCTTTCAAATGAAAATGTTTCACTGCTTTGCTTGTCTTTTCTTTTTATCGATGCTACTAGAAAGCTCTGTGTGAATACTCAAACTGCTTGCAGCACTTGCCTCCCGGTAACATTGCCATGAGGCGGGACGTCCAGGAGGGCCAGGCTCGCTGTTTGTCTCAACTAGGAAGGCACAAGGAAGCTCTGGATATTGCAGAAAGAATGGTAAATCACATCCTTTGAACACAAAAAATATTACCAGTAGTTCTTTTATACAGACCATTTTCTGCAAAAATAATCTGTGTGTGTTTAATCCTTCAGGATGTTCAGTGCTCAGAGTATTTGGTAAACAGAGGGTAACTGTCACTGCAGATATAATCACTCTTTAGAAATCAGAACACCCTGTACCACAATGAGTTCCCTGTGCAGGGAGCTGGTAGTCCTGGAAGGGACTAAATATCATGCTCTGCCAGGCAGAATTAATGTAACGTAATAGGAATTATAAGAAAAGGGATAAATGAATGCTTAAGTCTTTCCACTATAAAAGCATCGGTTCAACACTTCCTTTTATTTCCATGTACTTTTCTGCCAAACTGCCACCAAGAAGAGTATCTAACCACAAATGGAGTTTTTCCCATAAAAGAAGATGTCCGGAGGCTCTGAAATCTGCTAATGTTATTGCTGCTGATCATTGTATATAAAAGGTGTTCATATTACTAAGAGGGGCGACTGCATAACATAAGCAGTAATGCATGTAAGCAAACAGCAGTGTTCACGGGCTTCTTTCAAACTGTGATGAGGCCACTGAAGGGATCGCTGCCTGCTTGATCTTGCATGATCTCTATCATGTTGTATTGTTTAAAATTAAGAGAGCGGTAGTGAAAGCTACCTTTAGAGATGTCTGTCTGTCATTACCCGGGGAGACGTTTTCTTAAGCTCTGAAGGATGGTTCTGTTCTTCTGCTCCTGTTATAATCCTTTTTTCTTTTGTTTTCAGAGAAATGGTGCCACAAACACGGATCACTTAACGACTGTTCTCAACCTGCAGTTTGCCATTTATCGGGATCTGGAAAACGTGGAAAAAAAGATCGTGTGTCTGCAGCAGCTGATCTGCTTACATCCCTTCAACCCTTGGTTCTGGATGTCACTTGCTGAAGCTTATATGGACCTTTTGCAGGGCTTGTCTCCATTATGCATTCCAGAAACAAACCTACATTGGTCCAGAGAGGTTAGTGATGGTAGTTTCGGAATATCAGCTGGAGGAGAGATTAATCTCCAGCCTCACAGATCGCACTGCCAGAGCGAAGGCCCTCCGTCCTGCCCAGCTGCAGAAACAAAGAGCGAGAGCTCAGCGACCTGCAGCAGCAGCCAGGCTGTAACAGAAATGCTCTGCACTTCAGACTACACTGGAAGGAAAGCTGAAGGGAAACAGGCAGCCTGCGAGTCCTGGGAGCCGGACTTGGCAAAGCATGTTGGCGTAAAGGCGTGTGCCTCATTTGTTAGAGCAAGGTAACAAAGTACACTCTTAGAATGATGTGAGATTCTCCCAGTCCAGAGCAATTTTAAGCATGTTATTCCCCAGCCTTAATGTACTCAGTTTACATCTCTGATTTAAAGATTTGTTCCAGCATTGGTAACACCAACGTAGAAAGAAAAGAATGGACTCGTAATTGAGATGTAAAAAGTGAAACTCACCAGCATGGTAGCTATGAAAAACTGACATTTGGGTGGAAAGACAAAGCCGGTGTCATGTGTTGTTGAGAAGTAAAGCATTTTTTAAATAATCCCATTATACAATTCCTTTCAAATAATTATATACAAAAGGATTTTTTCTCCTCTAAATGCTCCTGCTAGAGCGTGGCTGTTCCTGCTTTGGTATTAAAGATGCAGCATCTGAAGTCCCCCAAAGGGAAGTGAGCCCGTCTTCCTTCTGCAAGTGCCACCTGGCTTGTTTGCCTGCAGCCTCTTGCTTGAGTGAAAATGTATTATTTTAATAATACACCAATTTGCATAACGGATGAGGTTGAAAAATGAACTCCGTTGCAGCTGATTGACAGGGCTGCATTAACATGCTCTTCCTCTTTATTCCCTCTCTTCCTAAAATTCTTGCACAGAACAAAAATCTCCTAAATGTAATAGTTCAAAGAGATAATTAGGAAATGTTTCTTGTTAAAAGAGTCTTGTTTTTTTTCCCTCTTGCCTCTCAATAACATATCAGTACTGAATGTGATTAGTGCAGTTTTATGGACTTCTGAACATGTTTACAGAGAACACATTATAACTGCTCTCTGCAGGCAACATTTGGGAAACATAAAGACAGGTTTTATCTGTACTTTGAAAGCAAGTGACTTTATTTGCTGCCTGGGAGAAGTTAACAGATTGAGTACTGGTATCTAATAAGCTAATTCGTGTTAAAGTAATCTGTGCTTCTCATATCAGTGATGAACCAGACGTACTGAAACAGTGGAGGCAGTTCTGGGATTTCCTTGCTTGACTGCATGGTGGTGTTGTGCTTTGTTTCCAGGTTGGATGTGGCTCTGGGCAGCCTGGTCTGGTGGTTGGCAACCCTGCACACAGCAGGGGTGTTGAAACCAGATGATCATTGTGGTCCTTTTCAACCCAGGCCATTCTGTGATTCTGTATTGGCATATGCACTTCTCTAGTGAGCTTCCCATCGCAGGGTTACGTTTTAGCTTATCTGGTGCTTTCAGCTCTGCTGGGTTTATGTGAGACTTGGGTGCTGCATGGGTAAATTCACTGCTATATTCAGTGAATGAGGATCGACTCCTCAACTTGTGGGCCTCTGCCTTCAACTTAAGAGTGGTGGAAGGTTTTAGAAAATACCCCCACACTGACCTGTGTGAGGATGTTTGGTGTTTGTTGAAACAAAACCAAATTTCTCTCTTCTCAGGTTGCGAAGATGGCCGCTGCTGCATGCAGCAATGCACTGCTGTCTCCTTAGGCCTTAATAAGGATGAGGGATACTCAGTACAGCACTGCTAATGCTCAGTGCCCCAACTGCACGGGGGGAAAAATGGTTGTGTAGAGGCACCAGAGATACTTGGCATTTCCTTATTCTGAAGTTCTTCTTTGTATTTCTTCAGTCATTGTGTGTGCACAGAATGACCTTAATAGATCGATATGGATGTATTCAGCTTCCTCAGCTGGCAAAGGTCAAGAAGAGCTGTTTTAAAGTATTATCTTGTAGTTGGTTTTAGTTTAGTTTAGTGCCAGTTGTACCCTCTCTAACTGCTTATTTTCATTCTAGGCTTTTACTTCAGCTTACTCAACTGCAACAGTCATCCTTTGCTCTCGAAAATAACATAAAATGTCAGAAAGAAATTGATGACAAAGTGGCACAGTTTGGTTTAAATGAAAACTCCCTGCTGCAGGTGACCAAGGTAAGAGAGTGTTGTCTGCGTGTGTGTTCGCCAGGTCCTCGTGGGGGGACGTGGGCCAGCTCATGCTTGCAGGTGCCTGACTCTCCCCTGGGCTAATTAACCGTGCCAGGAAGCAAGGTACATTAGCCAGGGCGATGTCCTGGTAATGCATTATCTGGGACTGACTGTGATAGCTGTGTAGCTGGCTTATGTCACGCGGGTGTATCTCTGTTCTGCTGAAATTCTCCTTACAGGAATGCTCACGGTTGTTAGGTTTCTCGCTAGACTTGTATTTGCAGGTGCATCATTGCTGTGCATTTCCTGGGAAGCAAGTTTTATCTCTGCCACTTTAGATGCCACAGAGTGAATCACGTGCATGAAATGCAAATGGAGATGTCACTGAGGGGTACTGGATTATTCAAGTCTTCGTTCTTTCGGCAAATTTTCAGAAAAGTTCCTCTTACATTGTTTCTTTGTTCCATTTGATGTACTGGGTTCTAACTTAAAAGAACCACAGAGGAGGAGAATGATGTTGTATGGCTTTATTCATAGAGCTTAAACATTTCTAGCATCTATGGAGTTCTATTTAAAAGAACAAAAGGAAGCCAAAAAATGTTTAACTTCACTGTCAGCATTGTCAGGCTTCAGTTAATAAAAGCCAAGTCCTTGCCGAGTTGGCAAGCGAAGCTGTGGGCTTTCATCCATGAGAGGGCAGCAGCATGCAGACTATCCCAAGTTTCCACAGGGCTGCCGACGAGCAGCTGCTTTCCTCGCTTCCCTTGGTCTGAAGCCCCCGGTGAGAGATCGCTGCTGGTGCTCCTGGGGCAGGCGCTGATCGCAGAGCTGGCGATGGGGCTTGTGCTGCTGTTCAGAGGGCAAAACGCCCCACGTACAGTTGTACCGGAAGTTGGGAGGGGCTGTACAGCTGCGAAGTTTGGGCTCTCAGTCCTCCATATTTATGACAGTGCAGCAGGCAGACAGCTTGGTTGTGATTCGGAAGCGCTTCCTAGATGGCGGATGGTTCTTGTGTTCTGTTATTAACGTCACATTACTTGTTTCCTGTCTTTGTTCTTACTGCGGTTGCAGGTGATGGGAGCAGATCTTATACCAGAAAAACTAAAGGAGGAATTTCAGGGCGAGGTAAAATGCATAGGCTCTTCAGCACTGTCATCATTGGTAACCGCATCGGCCTCGGAGTTTGAAATCAAATGGTTCGATATTCTGTGAGATGATCTGTGCCACTTGGACAGGCAGGTCTCTTCAGAGACACACACCCCAGCTCTGGCAACGTAGGGCTGTTGTATTTATTGTCACAGCTTCAGAGGATTATGGAATGATGCACGCAAAATGTTCCTGTTGTATTTTTTACGTTTTCTTATAGTATGTATTTCAAGAAAGTAAATCTCTGCATTTGAAGTCGTGGTGTCTGATAGTTTTTTTTTGTTCACAGATTTGTTTGTATTCAAAATAATAAGAGATCCAGTATAAAATGGAGTTTTCCAGGGTAACTGTCCATCATAAACCTCACAGTGTTCTTGAAGCACCAATGATTTTTTGGGGCCTGTGATGCAGCTCTTCCTTCCTGATGTCCAGTTAGAAAATGTCTTGGTTTTGAATTCTATGTTGTTGCACTTGGAGCCACAGAATTAGCCATTTTCTTAATTAAAAGTGGTAATATTTCTAGATTAATTGACATCATAGTGATTTTCTTTTCAGAGCTGGATGGCTGGATCTTAAATACATTTATGCTGTGAAGTTGTTAATAGGAATAACTTCATGTTTTTGGGAAAATATCTAAATAGTGACTGTTTAACTTAGGAGTGGAAGCAGATTTCCTCTAGGCTGAATGTTTTTGCAGGCACACAGCTCGCTACAGCCCGGTCCTCAGTGTGCTTACACATGGAAAGCCAAAGCTGCCAGGGTTGTTTATATGCAGTGAAGAGTGTTCAGTCAGAGCATATCCTTTGTAAAACCCTGCGAGGAAGGAAAAGCCTCTGCTGTGAAAATCAGCAGCGTTGTTCCTGCATCGTGCAGATCCTTACCTGTGCTTTCAGCTCACAATGCCACCACTTTGCTTTATGTTCTGAAGTGCTGATGTTACGTGCTTTGGGTGTGCAGAAGGCAGCAAATATCTTCTTTCTTTTGTTTGAAACAATTTACATTTGAGGTAGAAGTATGCTCTTGCCCCATTTGATTCCATTAAACTGTGATTCTTACTGGCTTTTTGTAAACCTATAGTTTATAGTGTAAAAGGAGGAATCTCTCATATGTAATTGACTTTTCTTCATGTGACTTTTCCTCATGTTCTCTTGGGGTTTCATTCTGCAGTATTAAGGAGTGCTGAAATTTTCAGTAACTCACAGTGGAAACGTACTTCACTGTACATGTACAAACTTTTTAGATGCAGCTGCAACTTTGAGATGGGTTTTAAAGCTTTAAGGTGCATGTTAAGACATCTGTGCTAACACTTGGTATAGTGTATCCTCCTGCTAAACCGGCTGCAAAACGTCTCCAACAAAATGGAATATTGCCTTCGGCCATGTCAAATTATCTTTGATAGTTTGGTGACTTAATGTGATTAAACCACATCCTGGCCAGCTCGTTACGAAAGGTGATGCCTTGGCAAGTACACATGGCTAAGCATTAATTCATAACATATCACAGAATATTCATTTTAGTCATGCGTGTGTTTGCTAGGTGGAAATTGTTGTGTGTGTGCATGAGTTGAGCAGGCTGGGATGGCAGTGAAGCCCACCTGGGATGCACACACTGCTTTCACCAAGCAGCCTGCCCTTGTGTTTTCAGCAGTGACTGTCCTTAATGGATTATAAATTAATTACGATGTTGCCATCAACAATAGAATGCATTACAACAAAGGCACAGCAAACATAATGCCAAACATATCAGCGAAAGTAGTTGAGTTACTGGAACTGGGACTTCTCCCAGTTTCTTCTTAAACTTATGGTCATGAGCAGCCCCAAGGGACATAATCTGCTTTCCCACAGCTCCTAATCAAGTTCCATAGTTACAATGTTGGAACAAGCTTTTGTGGACCCGGGTTTGTGGAGATATTTCATGGGAACTCACCAGATGATTTGGCTCCACTGTTTAGAAGGTGGAAATGGCAGCGTGTGAAATGCTTGCCAGATGCTGTCATTTCATGACTGAGCTGTCTGAAACACACAGTGACGTGGCCAGCCCCATTTGGGGACTTTGGTGTGTGTGGCTGGTGAACGTGTGGCTGTCTCACACTGGCAGCACAGCAGTGAACTCCCCAGCACCTGGCAGGGCGGATGCAAGCAGCACTCCTTAAGAACAGGCACAGTTTTCTCAAATACAGCAAGAAAGCAAAAATGTTGTTTTTAACTACTGCAAAGAAAACAACATGAATGTTGCTCCGAATGCGTTGCATAGTTACTGCTCAAGTCAGCAGTGTTTATTGTGCTGGGCTCTGGAACATTCCTTGGTCTCATTGTGCTGGCTATCTCTCGCCTCTGCTACTTGCACTCATCCTTTTCTGGCCCACTCCTCACTTTCAGCATGCCATCTCCAACCCCAGCTTTCTGCTTCTAATCTCAGAGGGGCTTTGCACTTCCATCTTGTGTCTGAATGCCTCAGCATCACTTCAGTGCTCACATAACTCTACATCTGCCTGCAACAGCTTTCTTTGTGTTTTGGCTCTTACCGTATTAATCTTATTGGTATTAATACTTGCACTGGTACTCCACACTGAGTGGTTACATAGCAGATTTAGCATTGCCAACTCCAAGAATCTGTTAACTGTTGCCAGGGCTGGGCTTTGTCATTCTGATGATCTCTCATGATCCCTGCAGGCCCTGGGGCAGGACCCTCTAACCCCAGTTCTGATGCTCCTGGAAGGATCAGTGTGTGCAAGCACAGGCTCCTGAGATGTTGTGCTGTTGAGCATTTGAATCCTGCTGCCTGCTTCTGAGGTGAAGAAGGCATTACTGCTGGAACTTGCGAGGCTCACGCTGCTCTCAGCACGCGGTAGCGGTGTTTGTACCAGCCCTTCCCTTGCAGCAGGCTGATGAGGGATGTCAGCATCCAGCTCCAACCTTCCCAACAGGTACTTTCTGCAGCTGCCTGTAAGCACACGTTCCCTTCATCGCCGAGCGATCGAGCCTGTGGGAGCCTGCGGGCATTTCTGGCATAACTCCTCGCTGAAATGGGAAACTCTTGATTGTTTTCCATCAAAACTGAAATTCCGTTCACTTAACATTCGGGTTCAGCTGTCGTCTGAATTAACGCAAGCTGTATCCCTGGTCCAGAGCCGAAATTGGCTCTTAACTCACAACACTCCATCAGTGAGATTAGCATGTCCCTCACCTACTTCTCATTAGCCGCCCTCTCTGAGACTTCTGCAGGCAAATCGTGTGGGCACAGTGATGAGAAGGGCTCCAGTTTGGATTTCACGGGTCGTGACTGGAGGGAATGAAGGCTTCAGAGTGAGAGAGCAGTGAGCCCACAGCCTCCTCCATGCCACCCACAGCTGGGATGCAACAGGATCGAGGGACTGAACCAAACTCAGAAGAAAAATCACAGTTAGGCAGCGGGGACACACGCTTCATCCTGCTCCTGACAGTTTCAGAAGGAACAAAATGCAATTCCTTATCAGTTGTGCTCTGGCTGTATGGAAATGATTTTGGAAACAAAGATAGTAAGGTGCACAAGAGAAGATGAAGCAACAAAATGATTCTCAAAGGCATTTTAATGAAAGTCTTCTCCTTTATTTACCATGTTGCCTTGTCATTTTTAGACAACTCAATAGAATTCTCATAGGAATGAAAACTTCCCTTCTTCCCAAGGAATCAAAAAATGTTGTTATGTACAGACATTTACAATGATATGCAAGGGTTTAGTGTTATTTTGGTCTCCAAAATCTGACTCCAGAAATAAAAATGTTCACATGCCCATGTAGCATGCATTGTCTTTTACCTTTTACAATGTTCTGTAAATGCTACTGGTGTATTTTTAAGGCTGTAGCTCTTCCAAGGGTGAGAAACTCCTCACTTAAAATTTTGCTGCTGCGTGCAATTTTCATCAGCCACAGAAAAAAAATGCAATTTAATTCCTTAACCTTACTGAACAAGGGACAAGCCAGCGAGGTGCATCAGATGAGCAAATGTGTTTGGGTTTCTGGCTTTTGTTGGGGTCAGATGAAAGATAGAGGCAAGCAGATTAGAAAAACAACGAAGTGCCAATACACCAGTAAATTGTGTGTATCGAGTGACTCTGGGGCATGGATGGACATCCCTTATGTCCTTTATATTTCAAGAATTATCTCACTATTTGTTGCTTTGAGCTTACAGAGGCTTCCTTCACTCTCATGGGTTACCCGACCAAACGTTTCTCAGGTTTGCAGGCATTTTGGTTCAAGCTGCTGAACTCCTGTTATGCCCTTTTATTCAAGGCATTCCTTTACATCACCTTTATCTCCAACTCAATGTTCTGTCAAACAACCACTGAGAGCATTTCCAAGATCCGTGTACTTTTACATGAACTGGAACTCGGTACTGGAAAGATGTGTTGCTAGCAGGACTTTGCTTCCTTCCTTGGCTTCATTTTCCAGTCTGAATCTACACAGCTGCTCTGCAATGAGGAAAATTGCTCTGAGCTGGTGGGACTGGAGGTTTTGACAAAGCGTGCTGGAATGCACCCATGTTGCTAATGAGTGAAACTGAGCGTAGGACGGCTGCAGGATGTCCTCTGTGCCCTGAGCTGTTGGTCTCCGTCCAGTTCATGGCCTGCAGGCCTGTTCAAACAAACCCTGCAAACAGGCACCCTTGTTGCACACCTCAAGCAGACAGCATCATGGACAGCGCGAAGGTGGGAGCTGTGCTGTCCTGTCAGCCCCCAAAGGAATCCTGCATTGAGACCAAGCTGTGATGATGGAGTGAAGGTAGACTGCTGTGCTAGCAGCATGTCAGTCCGGCACGTAAATAGCAGCCTTCACCCTCCTGAATTGGCTCCTTACGCAACTGCTTGAAGTGCAGAGTAAGAAACTGACTCAGCCTGCTTTCATGTGCCTGGCCACACGAAAACCACCTCAATCTATTGATACACAAAAATGGTACCAAGGGCAGGTGCTTGGCAGTAGCAGTGTTGCACTGTGAGCAGCATCGTTAGGTTTGTTCTTAGTGGGACTGTACTGCAGCCAATGTTTACATGACAGCAGGTGGCTTTTTAATTAGGGAAACGAAGCATCCATAAGCACCAAAACATGAGACCTGAAATCATCCTTATTTTGTATTATGCAGAATTTCTGTGTTCATCAGTGTACAAGCGATTGCTAAACAGGTCCTCACTAGGTTTACTTGCAACTCAAAACGAGGTGGCGATTATGCAAACAGGTTGCCTTTATGGAGGCATCTCCAGGGTGAGTTTAAGCCTGTCCTGTTTGGTTCCTCTTGTCTAACTCTTACAGGTCGGTAAATGTTCATGTTGTTATAAAGAGCTGTGGGGCTGTCGGCCACGTAGTGCGGCTGGTAGAAGTTAGCCTGGATGGGCTGTGCTGGGGGGGGTGTGAATGAAACAAAGCTGTGGAAGGAATTAACTCGATGCAGAGGTGACGGGGGGGTGAAATTGCTGCTGAATATGAGAGTTCTTGGGGTTTGCTTGGTCTGACGGTTGCTTCCAGTTGAGAGGCTGCTCAAGGGGTCTGAAAGAGTGTTAGCACTTCCCTCGTCGCTGTCAGGCAGGCTGCGCGGCAGGGCCCAGCTCTGGCTGAAGAGGAAGGGCATGGTGCGTGGTGGAGACTTCGGTCCCCTCACTGGCTTGGACAGTGCATAGAGGTGGCGGAACTCCTCGTCAAACAGCTCCACAACTTGACCAGTGAACTTGGAGAGGAGGTTGCGGTGAACCTGGCCACATAACCATGTGAAGCTGGAAGGAGAGACATGGTAAGGGTTAGCCATTGGCAATGGGAGGTCCCCAGTGAGTTGGTACTGAGGCTCGTGGTCCAAACACAGGATGGAGCTGAATTTTAGGTCAGTTCACATCAGTGCTCTCTCTTTGGCTTTTGGGTCAAACCCTGTTATTGCAGCTGCCGCTAAAACCTCCAAGAAACTCTCTGTAAAGGTTTTATGGCCTCCTAAAGGGAGTGGTGGAAACCAGGACCTGTATCCATGTCAGCACATGTCAGATGCTTCGTGTTTGGCTGTCTGTTCCACAGCCTGGCTTTAGACCCCTATTTAGGAACCGCTCTTCCTCACGCAGTGCTTGAATTAAGGTCTTATCACGTCTTGTCTGCAGAAACATAAATTGTATCTTCCCTGCACAACAACATGCTCATTTGTAAATCTCACCCACTCAGAACTGACACGAGGAAAACTAATGAAGAACAACTGTTCTTTGTTTGCACTGTGCTGTGCCTTTGTTTGCACTGGTCAGGAGAAGCACACAGAAACCCAACCTTCCTGTGGCATCCTGCCCCCACAGCGCAAACCACCACACCTGCATTGACAAGTTTAACAAGTGCTCATTTCCTTCACTACAGGTAGAATGAAATGAAAAATATTTCCACAGCCTTTACAAAATTAGTAATAATAATAATAATAATAACAAACCACCTACTTTGCTGTAAAGGATAAACACTACAGCAGTTTTTATTCTGGGATCCAGAGACACGCCTCAGAACACTCCATGGCCTGTAAATGATTTTTCTTTTACACACTACCCTAATCCACTCGGCAAACATACATCTGTGCTCTTTTTCCAAACCACAAGCTCAGTCAATTGAGCTGTGCAGACTGCCTTGTGCCACAGCATCATCAATAAAACAAAATGTAATTACTCCCTGAGCTGAGCGGGGCTTGCGTTGTGCAGCAGAGGCTGTAGAGCAGCGCTGGGTTTGAACCCAGGGTTACTCAGTGTCAAAAAGAACCAAAAAAACGTGTCCCAGTTATTCCTGTGGGAATTTATTAGCTATGCTGGATTTGCAGAAGCATTACCAACAGCCAGATTTGGCTGTAGGTGTGTGCACTTCACATCCTGTTGTTGCAATGTCTTGACAAAACTCCTGTGAAACTCAGAAGGGCTGACGGCCTCAGCTGACACTTAGACACAGTTTGCATCTGCTGGTTTGGGGCATTCTTGAAGAGGGTTAGGTTTGGGACGTACACTGTTTCTATACTGTTAATTCAGGAGCAAGGGGGAGGGGTGAAGTAACCACAACTTAGGCAATTCGTAGAATCACAGAATGGTTTGGGTTGGAAGGGACCTTTAGGATCATGTAGTTTCAACCTCCCTTTAAACCACATTGCTCAAAACTCCATCCAGCCTGGCCTTGTGTGCTTCCAGGAAAGGGGCATCCACAATCTCACCGGGCAACCTGTTCCACCACCCTCACAGTAAAGAATTTCTTCTTACTATCTAGTCTAAATCTACTCTCTTCTGGTTTGAACCCATTTCCCCTTGTACTGTTGCTACCTGCCCTTATAAAAAGTCCCTCCCCAGATTTCCTGTAGGCCTCCTTCAGGTACTAGAAGGCCACTTTAAGGTTCCCCCAGAGCCTTCTCTTCTCCAGGCTGAGAAGCCCCATTCTCTAAGTCGTAACATACAGACTATACATTTTATGCCTGAACATGACAATGCACAGTAAGTTACTAAAATGTGGGTTCTACTCATCCACTTTAGGCAAATCATTCTAAACACCTAAAACCTTGAGAGTTGAGGTAAGCAGCCCAGCAGGCCAGCTTGCTGCTGTCTGGTAAGAGCTGCTGCACTAGTGTGGCATTGCCGTTATTCACAAAGAAGCATTCTGAATCTTTCCCTGTCCTCCATCAAACTGTTAAGAAGACTCCAAACAAGAAAAAACACAGTAAGTGCACCCGGTGAGACCTATGTGATGTTAGACAGCTGCATGTGGATGTGTGCTGCTTCCAGCTCTGGTGCTGAGGAAAGAGGGCCAGCTTATTCAGGAGCTTCTTCTTGGTTCTTGGCGGAACCAAACGTAACCCGCATGACTGAAGCAACAGATTTTTAATGTGCTTTTAAACACTGCTCTGGAGCAGGAGATCCCAATAGGTTCAGTGTGGTTCATTTTCCTCTGACTGCCAACTTCAGCCCCCCTTGCTGTCTTCAAGGCCAACACATTTTGTTCCCAGACCCTTTGGCTGCGAGCAAAGCAGCCCCGGTCCCTTGCAGAGCACTGGGCACCAAAGGACTATTTTATTCCCTCAGCCTGCTGTCAAAAAGTCATGCAGACTTTTTACAGTTCTGTGAGTTTTCATAGACTCATAGATCATAAGGATTCTATCCTTAGAGTTGGAAGAGAGCTCTGAAGGCCATCAAGTCCATCTCCCCTGCAATGAACAGGGATGCTACAGCTAGATCAGGTTGCCCAGGGCCTTATCCAGCTCCACTCTGAAGGTCTCCAGGGATGGGGCTTCAACCACATCACTGGGCAGCCTGTTCCAGAGTCTCACCACCCCCACTGTAAAAGATGATTTCCTTATATCTAACCTAAATCTACCCTCCCTGAGCTTGAAGCCATTTCCCCTTGTATTTGTAAAGGTATTTGCTTTGAGGTATTTTGTGTTAGTTTTGAGATCTACTCAAATTTCCTTTCCAACACTTCAGAAGAGTCTGTTTTACTCTCTTTTAAGATCCTTATTGTTTACACCTGCAGAGATTGGTGGGCAAGATGTGGTGATGATAAAACTTTCAGATGAATGAAGTGAGAGCCAGAAGCCTACAGCAATGCCATGTATTGATTGCCGTTTATAAGCTGTGTGAATCCACAAATTGAGCATGATGAAGTCAAATAGCATATGGATTTGTTCCTCACCATTATCTCTGCTTGCTTGCTGCATAGGAGATAATGGATAACGTAGGATAACTTTGACAAGGCTCTTGAATTTAGAAGATAATGCAACAGCAGAAAAGAATGAGAGGAGTGACTCTGCACTGCAGAGGACTTGAAGGGTTTTTCTTTTTTACTCTCTTTTTTTTTAATAGGATATAAAAGCCAAAAGGGTCCTTCTTGGCTAGAGAAAAGTTGTCTTGCTCACTCCCTTTTCTCCCACATATCTTCTATTCTCCACAAAACTCTGTTTTTGCACTTCTAAACAGATTTGATGAGAAATGAAAACAAAACTGAAGAACAATTAAGCTGTAGAGTCCGATAAATCAAACAGAAAGCCAACAACATGGTTTTGCTCACTCCTTGTCTGGCAGTTCGTTTGGAAAGTGAATGAAAGAATGGGCGCCTGCCTCTGGAGACAGCTGAGCTCCTACAGCCTTCGCTGTCCCCACGCGTTCACATTTACCTTTGTTCTTACAGTTACATAATCTTCCTGCTGGCACAGTTTATCAAAGCAATTAAGTTCCAAATCACAAACCTGGATTAAGGAAAACAATCTCATCCTTTTAATTAAATAATCACATATGTAATTTTTTCCCTTGTCTTTTTTGTATCTGAGTTTCTAGGATACACCTCAGTCATTTGTGATGCTTATCTACGTAGCCATGAGGCTTAGGAACTATTTATTTGATGCAAACTCAGAGTCTCATGAAATTCCCTGACCTGAGGATTGTGGACCTTAATGAAAGGCCCAGTTGAGATGCTACATCCTGTGCCTGAAATCATCAAAACAACTTGCAAAAAAGGAAAAAAACAAACAAAAAAACCAACTGCAGTGGTGCATCTCACCTGTAGGATCCAGAGAGAACGTATCTCCAGTCAGAGATAAGAAATTTTTCTTGTATTTGTCCTGAAAATTTCCTGCCTGATTTGGCACAGTATACCTCTCCAGTAACACTGCGGACTGAGATATTCTAGTAAAGAAAAAAGAATTATTTGAACAGAGTGAATTACATGTTTGTTTGTCTGAACTAAAAATCAGAAGGAAAAGGCCTCTTTTCCCTCTTGTCTTCAACACTTCACCTTCCCTCATTCCTGTTACAGTTTCATCATGGACTCCATTGTTATATTTAAAGGTTTGGGCGCGATGGAAGCCCAGACAAGTTTTCAGGGCTAATTTTTCAGTGGGCAAATAAACATACAGGAAAATTTGCACAAAGGAGCTGCAAGCTATGACAATATGGCTGCTCCCCCTAGTCGAAAGAGTACTAGAGATGTGTCTATAGCCAAGAATAATCCGTCACCTCTGCTGACATCTCAGCTCTAGATCTGATCCCTTTTGTTTTACACTGATCAATGGCACAACACAGCAGGGCAAAACCTTTCCTCTTCTAATCAGTACAGGCAACTGAATGGCTGGTGAAGCCCAGACAAGCCATCGATGTCGTATCAAATGTAAGTACGTGTGAATGGAGCTGAAGGTGTCTTTGGTATGGTATCATGGTATCAATTTGTAGAATCATTTCTATGGTTGGAAAGACCACTAAGAGCTCCTAGTCCAACCATCAGCCCACCTCCACTATGCCCACTAACCATGTCCCTCAGTGCCACATCTCCATGGTTCTTGAACACCTGGTTCAATGGTTAACTTTAAGGTCAATTTCCTCCAGCAGGGATGATGTTGGATTAAGCTAGCAGACAGCTAAATTTGAGGCATTACCCTTAAAGCAAAGTCTGAACAACATAATTTTATTACATTTCATGCAAACACCCAGGGAATTCAACTAAAACACTGAGGCTGAGGATCAAGAGCAGCAGTCAAGTGAGCCAGGCAATGCCAGCAGAACTCGGCCCTCACAGCCCAACTGAGAGCACCCAGTTCAGTCTTTCTGGCCACCCAGGATTTTCATAAGCAGGGTTATGTGTGCAGCTAGGGCTTCCCACTACCAATGGCTACCAGACCACCTTTGGGTCTAATGGATATCTAATGGGCATCCAGTCTAATGGACATATAATGGAAATGCCTTAGCTTCCTCAAAAAATGCATGGAAAAGTGTAGGCATTTTTAGAGAATAATAAGATTACAGTACCTCTGGAAATCTCCTCTGCTTTAATTACATGCTAGGGATGTTAGAAATGACCCTAGCTTAACTGTGCTTCTAACCCAAAGCCTAAAGAATTTCAGAGCCACAGTACCTTGAAGAGATCCTCAGCAATCTGCAGCTTGTCACACATCTCCGAGAAGAGATTTATATTGCCATGGTCCAGCAGCAGGTAGACAAATACCATGCGCTTGTTGGCTGCCTCCAGAAGGTCACAAAGGATCTCAGTGTCTGTGAATACATCCATCACGATAGCCAGCACCTAGGGGAAAAAGCAGAAGCATTAGTTGATGTCATGGTTGATTAGTTGAAGTCATGGCTGCCTGAAATGCATTGGGTATTTCATGGAATCACAGGATCATAGAATGGCCTGGGTTGAAAAGGACCACCATGGCCATCCAGTTTTAACCCCCTGCTGTGTGCAGGGTCACCAACCATCAGACCAGGCTGCCCAGAGCCACATCCAGCCTGGCCTTGGATGCCTCCAGGGATGGGGCATCCACAGCCTGCTTGGGCAACCTGTTCCAGTGCCTCACCACCCTCTGTGTGAAAAACTTCCTCCTAATACCTATCCCAAACTAAACCCTGTCTCAATTTAAGACCATTCCCCCTTGTCCTATCACTATTCACCCTCATAAACAGCCATTCCCCTTCCTGTTTATGTTCTCCCTTCAAGTATTAGAAGGCCACAGTGAGGTCTCCTGGAGCCTTCACTTTTTTTTTTTTTAACTCCAACAAATAAAAAATCTGAAACATATGTGTGGATATTTATTCTGTTTCTCCCATGCATCACTGAATCAGTGAGACACGTTGCTTCACTGTTTTATTGCTCATATAAATCCAACATAACACGCAATGTACGCACTTCAGTTACGTTCTTTTCATCACCAAACATAATGTGAACCAGCAAATTGTAGGTGAGATTTCAGCACTAGGAAGGATATTAAAACACTAATCAGAGAATAATAAGGATGTAGCTAAAATAAGAGACCTCAGCTCTTGCCAAGTGGCTTTCATAAGTCACATGCATTTAGCAAGTATTGAATGATGCTTTCCCTGTTACAACTTAGGTCTGGAGCAGCCCTGTTTTTAAATCCGCTCCCTGCAGTTGGTAGTGGGCTGACAGACTGCAACAGCTTCATGTTTATTTCTTTTTATATCCAACTTTCACAATGATTTATGAGCTAATTGTTTCAGTTTAAACATACATCCACATTTCCAAAGTCACAAACGGCAGGAGCATGTGTAAAAGCCTTGGAGCAGCACGGACTGCCCATTAAAGACCCTCCAGCTGCTTAAATTCACAGCCTCCAGGCAGTGCGTGGTTGAAGGAGCAATAAATGTGCTGTAAAACCAAGCTCATGCCACAGCCACTAGGCTCAGCACTGAGGTCTCACCATCCTCCCTGCTGTTGTCCACAGAAAGAGGTGTCTGCCAGGGCAGCTCAGTGCAGCCATACCCACCTTACCTCCAGGAGGTAACAGCTGGAGAGGGAACCCCTCACAGTTGCCCTCACAGGGCATCACGTTCAATAAAATGCAGCCCATGAAAACAATTTTTACAGATTTCTGCAGATCTGCACCACTAATTTCTTTCAACTTTGGCTCAATCTTACAGAAAGCTTATTCCCTTTCCACCCCCATATATAAATCCCACAAGACCAATTGCCAGATTATTTGGGTAGCAGTGAGGATCGCACAGCTTCATTCTGCTGCCGGAGCACAGTGCTTCAGAAAGGGCCCTGTCAGGGCCAGGTAATGGCCCAGTGCTGCCCAACACCTTATCCTCACACTTTGTTAGCACATTTTGGACCACACTTGCCTTTATACACAGCACAGAACTGCTGTCTCACACTCAGCCTCACCACAGCTCCAGACCACTCTCACATGCTGCTTCTTCACCGGTTGTTCTCAATTTATGTTACTGCACTTGGCTCTTCTCTCTTCCTGGCAATACTCCTCATTTCTTTTGCCTGAATTTCACTTTACAATTTGTGCCTCACAAGGATGTTAGGGTTACAGAGTCATACAATCATTAAGGATGGAAAAGACGTCAAAGATAAACTAGTCCAATCATTCATAATCCAACTGATTACAGACTCTATTAGGATTGTAGTACTCTCAGCTCTCCAGCCCTCCACAGTTTGATGTCATCCACAAACATATTCCTTATTCTATTTATGCTCTTAATGGATACCTTAAGTACTGTGGTATCCAGCATGTCCCCGTATCACACACTAACTATTCTCATCACTGAGAAAGTGTACTCAAAAAGCAGTTGCCAAATGTATACTGTCAGCAGCCCATTTGAACCATAGATGTATATTGCATTTCCCATTTTTTCCCCTAGAATTTTTCTCTTCTTGAGATAAGATGTTTTTCTCTGTTAATACCTTTAGCATTACTAGTGCCAGCTCCAACGGCTCTGACTCTAGAGGGCTCCACAGCTGTTCTGGAGAGCGGGACCCACAAACCTCCCTTTCCACCTGGGAATGTATGGTCTTGCCTATCTCCAGCCAGCAGAAATTTGAGACTGAAGTTTTTGGAAAAGAGTAATATTTTGTTTACTTAAAAGCTATGGTGTGTGATCACAATCGCTAAAAACAGAATTTTCAAGCAGTCAGCAAAGAGCACCATTTCTCTCGGAAAGCAGCTGTGTTCCCAGCTTTTGGGCAGGGCCTCTAGCTCCTCACCTAAGGCTGAGGATGTGGCCAGTACTTTGCCATACAGAAAGAAATGCAAGAAAATAATTCCTTGCATCCGATGTGGCCCAGTGCTGTGACCCTTACACCCCCCCTCGGGGATTTCATTGCTGCTCAGGAGGCCCTACATTTCCCTTCTAAAACAGCAGTCACAAAGAGTTTGTTTCTGACCATTCATCTGTGAGGCTGCCAATGGAACCTCAAGTTTACATGGGCAAAATCTCTTAACAGTGATAAGGAAAGATCTGAAATATTTTCCCCTGAAAACTGAGCTGAGCTGTCACAATACCGCCAGAACACACCACCAAAGGTTTTTGCCCCCTTCAGTTGTTTGTCCTCAGATTTTGCACTTGTGCACACTGTGACAGGCATCTCTCCATGTCCCCATAACTTGTCTGTATTAGACTTCCCCTGCACCTCTCCCACACTCTGAGTGAGGCTCTGAGGCTCTGTATGGAGCCTGTGTGACATTTTAGTGGCACTGACGAAGTACTGGGGATGAGATGCCTTCTGAGTAGGTCGTTCCCTGGGGGACATCTCCTGGCACACACATGCTCCCTTTTCAAGGAGCTCTGTCCCCCCACACCTCCCACCAATCCCTTACAACGACCACTGTTTATTCAGAGCTTGCTTCAGCTTAATTTTCATTCACGGTAGGACAGCGCTGTGCACGGCTCCTGCAGCCTGGCACTGAGGTGCTACAGGCCAGTCCTCCATCATGACCACAGCCAGGCGGATGCACTGAGGCAGTGACAGCGATGCAGTTGCTCAATAGTGGGCTTTTTCTAGAGCAAAACTACACGGTAGTGCACAAGACTGGCTCTAAACACACACCGCCTTTACCCAGTCTTTCTAAGGGCAGGAGGACAAACACATGCAGAGGAACACGAGCTTTCTCTCCATACCTGCGTGGTCTTGTTGATGTATCGGCGTATGATGTCTCTGATGTTGCTGTTCTTCTCTGTCTGGAAGTACACGGTGGCCGTGGACTTTTCCTTTAAATAGGGCTTGTCCGCTGTAATCCATGTGTGCAGGAGAGCGGGCTCACTGCTGTCAGAAATGGTGGGGAAGTACGTCCCTGAAGGCAGGGAGCCGCCATCGTTCTGCCTTTGCGCGGCTGCCCCATCCGTGGGGGATTCCTGCGCATAGTAGGACTCCCGGGCGTTCTCCTTGATGTACCGAGCTTCCACCGAGGAGAGGAAATCCACCTCTCCCTCTTTGCTTAAAGTCTGGAGATACGAGTCTGTCCCACCATCCAGGAAAGCGTCCGTGGCCAATCTGATGCTTTCGTTGTGGCTGAAATCTGCTTTTGTTGATTTCAGGGACTGGTTCTTGATGTCCTCCAGCCGCTTTTTTATCTTGCCCATGTGTCTGGGGTGGCTCATGGCTCTGTGTCTCAGCAGCCGATCTGCAGAGTAGGCACCATGCATATGCGTGGTGCAGGAGACGCAGTCGCCCGTCGTGTTGGGAGTCTGCATCCTGGCGTAAAATCACCTTGACCGAACGAATTAACTCTGAATAAAAATAAAGAGATCTTATTACCTCTGGCAAATTCACACTCCCTGATTCTGTCGGTACAATTATCTTCAAAAAACAACCCAAGCTTACTACTCAGGTGGTGGTGTTCTCCAGCAACACTCTGCTTCCAGATGGAACGCAAGCACAAAGCTGATTAGATTGCTTATCTGCGAGGCACCCACCTCACCCCAAGGGAATCCGAAGGATTCGCGTCCAATTACCAGGGCTGTTTGATTTGGCTGTATTTCCCTACTCGGAGCATCCTGTGAAATGCGAGCAAGGAAAGTATTCAAGCAAAAGCAGGTAGGCTCCCAAGTATCGTTGCACAATCTTCAAAACAGCTTGAGGCTTCTCTGTCCTCCCATAGCATTTGCTATGGAGCAAAAACTTTAACTGGGACAAAGACATCAGCTGCATCCATAGCTTCGGAACAGCAGAAGGGGCTACGGACTCCTGTCTGTACCTACATGCTGCCAGGCAGGCTTAAAAATAAACCTGAAATTCGTCACTGAGCCCCGTTCACAGTATGTTGCTATTACCATGGACGATTCACTCATTTATTTCTTTAAAGCTTTGTGACTATGCTGTCCTATTAAAAGAAAAACACCCCTTCCCAAACATCCTGAGCATTATGTGGAGGAAGGGTTGTGAGCTGGCCTCAAAGCATCAGAAATACAAACACTCATCATTTGATTGTGCACATTTAGCACTGTTTGTTTGGTTTCCTATTTTTTTTTTTTAAGGCTGCAGCTCTGGAGTCACGTTGTCACCGTGGCAGCCCGGCTGCTGTCATTAGCAGCACAGGGGTTCGCAGTGGGGTGAGAGGCAGCGCCTCTGGGAGCCAGGCGGACTGGTATGACTGCGCGGGGCGAGGCGAGGCAGGGTGTGCAGGCACCGTGCCCCAGGTGTTCCATAAATACTTGCGTGCATGCTTTTACGCAGAGGCACGTGTGACACACTTTTATCACACAGGTTGGGTTCGCCATCGCTCTGCTCCACGCTGCTTCAAGGCGCTGTGGCTCTGGAGGGGGCCATAGGCAGAGCAGGGTGGAGCAGACGTTGCCTGGCCTCATACAGGGGAAGGGCTGCTCAGGGCACCTCTGAGCTGGAAGGAGTGCTGTCCCTCTTACCAGCAGCTCTGGAGCACAGGTGTCCTCAGGGCTCGTCAGAGGCCTGTTTTTCCAGGGTAGCTTCCCAGATTCTGTCTGTGTCCCCACAGTCTATTTTCAGATGCCTTATGGAAAAAAAAAAAAAAAAAGAAAAGAAAAGAAAATAATTATATGCCAGCACAACACAAGCATCCATATAAAAACAGAGAGGAGCGTGAAGTGGTTCCTATTTCACGCGTAGATCTCTGGGGGAAGGTACACCCACCTTGGGTCGGAGAGGTGGTGTGCGGGCAGTGCAGCTTGCAATGTGACTTTAGGAAATGTCCCCTGCCCTCCCCCCACCCCGACATCCGCCCACAGCTGTCAGACGCAGCAAAAAGTCATTAATTATCTAGTGACCTGCTCTGCGCAATTATGTTGAAAAGGATGCCGCCTAATTAATGTGACGTGAGAGATCGCGCCCTGTCAACACCAATCAGGTCCTCCCCGGGCCCTGCAGGGACATCACTGCCCTGCCTGCCGTCCAGCCCCGGCTGTGCCAGCACTGCCACCTTGGCTCTCACAATCAGCATAGGGTCCAATACGGTCACCAAAGGGTCCCTCATGGCCATCCCGATGTCCTGAGGTCCTTGCATGCCCACCTCAAGGCCCACACCGTCACCACATGGGGTCCCTCCTGGTCACTTTGGGGACCACACAGCCAAACCAGTGTCCCCACAGTTACCCTGGAGAAGACCCCATTGTCAGGCTGGGGCCCCATAAGGTCACCTCACGGCCACCTTGAGGCCCTACACTGTCACACTGACAACATGCACAGCCACCACAGGGTCTCACACTGTGACCTTGGGGCCCCACGCTGCCACACCGATGACACCCGTGGCCACCACAGGCTCCCACGCTGTCACCTCGGTGCCCCACAGGGTCACCACGAAGAGCCATGTTGTCTCCACAGCCCTACACACTGTCACGGTGGGGTCCCGTATGGTCACCACAGGGTCCTACATGGCCACTGTGAGGCCCCACACAGACGCCATACTGCACTGCGGCACAGAGCCCGTCCCAGCAGCCGCGGGAAGGGCCGAGCTGTTTCTCCAGCCCTCTTTTTCCCGTACTGCAGGCAGAAGAGGCCACCGTGCCCTTGGCGACCGGGAGAAAGAACACCAAGATTCACCCCAGCATTGCAGGGCCAGGCCAAGCTGGACAGTCAGCAGGGGAAAAACGCTTTCAGCCGCCTCGTTAGCGCAGTAGGTAGCGCGTCAGTCTCATAATCTGAAGGTCGTGAGTTCGATCCTCACACGGGGCAAAGGCGGGGAATGCTTTTTCTTTCAGTTTCCGGTTCCGACCGCGCTGTTGCCAGCGGCGAGGTGTGCGGGGGTCGCGCCGCGGCTCGTGAACGTCCTTTGGCTGGCGTTACTTTTTCAGAACCCAAGCTTTTCTCAGCATTTGGGAGCAGAGAAAGTAGAGGTCAGCGCTGGGAGCTCAGAGGTTGTGCAGTCTGACCAGAGGAGCAGCAGGCATCGCCAGCTGCACCCCTGCAAACCTATCTTACACACAGCGCTAACATCTTTACAAACCATAAGCGTGTGCACATGGCTGCCAGCCAAAAATGTATTATTTAAATATAGAAATAATCACGTGCAAATCCCAAGATTTCTAAGTGTGGAGGCCAACAGCTGCCTCTGTGCACTTAGGTGTTGGTGATGCGATGGGGAAGGGGCTGCTGCTCTCTGCTTCGCGTGCTGCCCTGCCCTGCAGCATCAATGATCATCCTTTTCATTCAGCTTTACCAGTGTGTGCATTACTCATTACAGAATGACAGAATGTCCTGAGTTGGAAGGGACTCATAAGGATCACTGAGTTCAACTCCTGGCTGCTAATATATATATATGTGCTATATATTATATATATTATATATATATAATATATATATATGTGCTGTTATATATATATAGCACATCTCCAGCAGCTCAGGTTGTACAGCCTCCCTGTACCCTGCTTTTAGCACTGTAATGGTGGTTTGCTTCTTCACGCAGAATGGCCAGAGCTGGAAGGGACCTCGAGGATGATGAATCTCCAACCCCCTGCCACATGCAGGGCCACCAACCACCCCATTTAATACCAGACCAGGCTGCCCAGGGCCCCATCCAGTCTGGCCTTGAACACCTCCAGGGACGGGGCATCCACAACTCTCTGGGCAGCCTGTTCCAGCAAGTTCCTGTTCTTCAAGTCGGGGCTTTGACTGGAACAAATAAAGCATACAAATACTCTATGTATATGCTATAACTTAGTGATAAAAAGTCAGTTTATTTTAGAAGTAAAAATAATATTACAGTTATGGAGAAAACAATGAGGTTACAAATGCTGCACATTTGTCTAGCTATAATTTTATTTTTATATAAAAATATTTCCAAAAGCCTTTATGATAAACAATCTCTAATCGGTCCTTGATCACATCACACGCAGTCGGGGTTTGACTGATAATCTGAAAGTACAGCTGAGGTCCAGAGCAAACCATCTCAGGTTGTCCACCGTGTGGGTGAGACATGAGCTGGAGGACGCCTGGTTTGGGCCCGCGCTGTGAGCTTCTGTCTGAGCTGCCTGACTTCTGCCATCAGCTCCCGCTCCTGGCGTGCCAGCTCTTGTCTTCTGTCTAAAGATGCTTAAATGGAAGAAACTCAGGCTTAATGTTGCAGCTATTTTCCCACAAATACCACAGATGCTTATTGGGAAAAATCCCCTGGACAGATAGGCTCTGCGTTATTACAACCCCTAAGCTCCTTGAAATTGGTACCATGGCAGTGTTATATTTTGTTACAAAAAGGTTGGATGTTGCTGGGGCTCCCTGGCAGCTCCAAAGACGTTTCCCGGTGCACGCAGGGTGATACAGGTAACATGCAAGGGATTTTAAAATGCGCCTTCATTGGCTGGGACAGCCTGGAGTAGATTATTGGAGACTACTTCTTAACTGTAACTCTGCAGGATTTTCATGAAGGATGGTTCTACATATGCTCAACAACCCCAAATCATACATAATTATGAAGCCTGAGCAAATATAGGTAAAATGATCAGGTCAGAATGGGACTAAACTAGGTTGAGGCTTAAAATGACTGGTCTCATAATGCAACACACTTCAGGCATTTCCTACTGAGCTATTCCTGGCAGTGATTCATTTTTTATGTTTTTCAGGTGTGAAACAGACGACAACAATAAATGGGTTTACTACCCACTAAGCACCATGAATAATGACTCAATCACCCAGCAAGGTGTTCCAGTAATGCCCCTCAAGTTAAACGTGAGAAAAAAGGGGGCCCTCACTTAGAATCTTACTGTGCGATGACGACTGTGATGCAGATAAATCATTCAGGCAGATGTTCCCAGACTTTGGCACCTGCTGGAATTCTACCCCTCTCTCTGCATGTCTGGCCCTTAAAGCACGCACTCTCTCTGTTGGAAATGCAGAGAAAGCATTGTTGTGCATGTTTGAATTTCTAGTGATTTTTTTTTCACTTGAGGCAAAACAGTTTTTCTCTAGGGAGTAAAACTGGAACAATATCTCACTCCAGCTAACGGCAAGTAAAATTTGTTCAGAATTTAAAGACAATTTTTGGTCTATGGGGCAAAGCCATGCATCACTGCTTTTCATTTTAACAAATTACAGTTCCATATGTGGTGTTTCTTGCCATATAATTAATCTTCTGACAAATGGGCCACTGAATTCATGTGGAATATGGCTACTCGTATTTGCTGTTTTAGGAGACACTCATTTTAATAACTTGCAGTTGCTAATTAGTCCGTGTTAAAACCATCAGACACATTAGGGCAAAGTCTGAAAAAGCTTGCTGAAAGCAACACCAATCAACTAATCTTAATACCAGTCACTGGTATTCTGCTTGTCTTGAGGAGATGGGATATGTATCTGCAAAACTACACAAATGCAGTATTTCAGGAGGATAACAGTCATAGAATCGTTTGAGTTGGAAAGGGCCATTAAAATTCATCCAGTCCAACTCCCCTGCAGTGAGCAGAGACACCTACAGCTCAATCAGGGTGCTCAGAGCCCTGTTCTGCCTCACCTCGAATGTCTCCAGGGATGGGCATCCTTCATCCCTCTGGGCAACCCATTCCAGTGCCTCACCACCCTTATTCTAAACATCATGGTAAGCCCAAGGTGTAGGTGTCTTCTGGTAGAATAGAGTATTACAGGTTGAGGTTTTCAAATTGATTAAAAAAACAGTGCAAACTATCCTAAATTTTCTGCTACTATGCGCTCTACAAAAAATACAAAATAATGTACTGAGAGAAAAGAATATCCTGATTTGGGGATGCACAAGGCCAACATTGTGCCCTTGAAGCCAAGAAGGCCAATGGTATCTGGGGTTGCAGTAAGGAATGTGGCCAGCAGACCAAGGGAGGTTCCCTTCCCTCTCTATGCTGCCCTGGTGAGGCCACATTTGGAGTACTGTGTCCAGCTCTGGACTCCTCAGTTGAAGAAAGACAGGGATCTTCTAGAGAGAGTGCAGTGGAGGGCCACAAAGATGATGAGGGGCCTGGATCATCTCCCTTATGAGGAAGGCTGAGAGACCTGGGGCGTTCAGCGTAAAGAAGACTGATAGGAGGGATCTTATGAATGCTTACAAATATCTAAGGGGTGTAAGGCAAGTGGATGGGGCCAGACTCTTTTCCCACACTGGAAATTCCATATGAATATATGGAAAAGCTTCTTTACTTTGAAGGTTACAGAGCACTGGAACAAGCTGCCCAGAGGGAACCACAGACACCTTAGGGTTGGAAGGGACCTCTGAGAGACACCTTGTCCAGCTCCCCTGCAATGAACAGAGACATGCACACCTAGATCAAACAGCCGAGGCCCTTATCCAGCCTCACCTTGAGAGCCTCCAGGGATGGGACATCAACCACAACAGTGGGTAACCTGTTCTAGTGCCTCAACACTGGCTGTGGAGATACTCAAAACTCGCCTGGATGCTTTCCTGTGTAACTCACTGCAGGGAGTCTGCTTTAGCAGAGGATTGGACTAGATGATCTCTGAAGGTCCCTTCCAACCCCTACAATTCTGTGATTCTGTAACGAAGTTTAGATTCCCATTCATACAACAAGATTAAAGTAACCTTATGAATCATTTACAATGCTGCATCTGATGGATA